CTCTTCTTTCATACAGCATAGTAACAAAATATCAGTATCTAATCATTCATTCATTTTTTTAAAATAATTTTAACATTTAACATTTTCTTCAAAATTGTCCTGGATACATGTATCCTTTACTGTTGCTATCTTTCGTCCCCATTCATAATGAATGTTCAATTCACTTTGGACTCGGTTTCCCTTTTTTTTTCTTTTTTTTACTTGTTAAATATGTCAAATGTTAAAATTTGTATCTAGGAGAGATTACATAACGAATGACCTTGATTCGGATGATTACATTATTGAATATCTATCTATGACATAATAGTTTGTAAGTATGACAAAAGAAAATCATTTTTAAATATAGTACAAATGTAAAGATGAAAAATTGGAAGGGGGAAGGGGTGTGGGGTGGGGTTAAAACAATAAATGTTGTCATGTTTTTTTTTCATTGAAGTACAATGTACGTTTCTTAGTAAAAAAAAATTAGAAAAACAAAGTGGAATATCCAAGTTTATTTGTTCGTTTTTACAAGAAAACTATGATGGTTTACTTTGTTAGTGAAACAATTAGTTGCTATATGAAAATGATCTTAAGTTTGTCAATTTTGTTTTAGAAAGATTTTTGTGTTTTCCTACTTTGTATTCAATAAAAATTACCCGTAATACATGATTTCTTCATAGATTGTAAATTAATGTGTACTACTAATGTTTATAGATATAAGTAGTATGTAGGTAGTATCGATCGAAAGTGTAATACCTGTCGGCTAAAGTTTAAGAAGAACACAGAAAAGAGAACCAGAACAGTAAATGATTGATGTGAAGATGAAAGAACATGGAACTCTGAGATGATTGATTAACATTTTACAAATGAAGTATTGACTGTATAGTTCTCTGATTTCACTAAGACATTCGATTATCCCCACTTGTGTTCACACTCACTATAGTAGCATATTAAGCATAAATATTTTGTCAAAGTACCGTCCATATTTTTTATAATCTTGGACACAATGATATGATTTATTAGCATAGTTATTATCAATATTTCCAAGGATTTGTACATACTCCATGTTGATATTCAGGAATGAATTTGATTAGACTCTGATGGTATGTTGGCTACTCGATTGGACAGTTTGATTTATATAAGCTTGGTCATATTTTTTGATTGTAGCTAACAATGGAATTTAGAACATGGTTTTGCTTATTTAAGATACTTTATCCAAATATACCTGTATATTAGTGTTGTTGATGTTCATGCCCCCAAATGCCTTGGTAAGGCCGAGAGTGAAGAGAGTCTGCTCTCCCTTTCGAAATGCTCTCATATGGCCACGCGTATATAGCCTCTGTCAGGAAAGTCCTACTCACTGTCTTCTCACAGTGGCATTACCGTTGTTTACGAAATTGAGAGGACGAAAAGCGAATGTCCGGCGCTTTAACCGGGTTGGTGGACACGGAAAGTCCACCTAAGGGAGTTTGGAAACTCTGATTCCAAACCAATGGTGCACATGGGCTCCAGTATTTTGAGGGAACAAATGGCATATGAACCCATCGTTTGTCACCGTCTACCGATTCCCGCAAAATTATATATCAAATCGAACATGATTATTAACAAACTTTATCTAAATTTTTTACTTATTTGGCTATTATCAGAATGAGGATTTGTGAAGATCGTAGTAGTTTTAACAGTTGAATTCATTAGTCGATCTAAGTTAAACTACCACTGAAAATCTGGAAGCACTTGACAGCCGTTTTGTCCTAGTATGGGACTATTTAACAGTATGCATCCATGGTTCCTCAAGCTGATCTCAAACCCAGGACCTTCGGTCTCGTTCACGAACGCTTAAATTTTAGACTACTGAGCTAGTTATTGTCTATGGTGAAGAAAAAGCAGTAGTTGAAGTTATTAGTACCATGAATATATCATTTTGTTGCTTTGATGAAAAAACTCAGAATATCACTTAGTGAACGAGCTTGACTTTTTTTTACCTCTAAACTATTTTACAATGTCGCCAAATGTTGCATATCCCTATGTGATTATTATAACTTTGAAAGTAGTAGAGAGGGAAAATCCTAACAAACAACATGTATTCATTCAGGATAGCTTATCAATTCAAAGTAATCACCATGCTTACGTCAATAACAGACAGATATTAATGGATTTAGGACATCTATGTTCAGTTATATAATATGAGATAATGCATATATATGACAATGGTTAGTCTCTGACACTTGAAATTAGAAATATAAAACATGTTTCCTATGAAACTAGGAGGAATCATACATAAATATACTTACTTACTTACTTACGCCTGTTACCCCTCGTCGAGGAGCATAGGCCGCTCACCAGCATTCTCCATCCAACTCTGTCCTGAGCCTTCCTTTCCAGTTCTTTCCAGTTACTATTCAGCCTTTTCATATCGGCTTCTATTTCCCGGCGTAGTGTGTTCTTTGGCCTTCCACTTTTCCGCTTTCCTTCACCATTCCAAGTTAGGGATTGAGTCGTGATGCACATTGGTGATTTCCTTAATGTATGTTCTATTCACTTCCAACGTCTTTTCGTAATTTTCTCTTCAGCTGGAAGCTGGTTTATCCTCTCCCATAAGACGTTGTTACTTATAGTATCCGGTCAGTGGATGTTGAGTATTTTGCGTAAACAATTTTTTATAAATACTTGTACCTTCCTGATGATGGCCGTAGTAGTTCTCCACGTTTCAGCTCCATACAGTATAACTGACTGTCTTGACGTTCGTATTGAAGATTCTGACCTTGAAATTAGTTGAGAGTTGTTTTGAGTTCCATATGTTCTTCAATTGTAGAAATGTTGCCCTTGCTTTGCCAATCCTCGCCTTTACATCTGCATCCGATCCTCCTTGTTTATCAATATAAATATACTTGGACAATATAAAGTTTCCACAATTCTTAGTTGAACTTATTATTACATAATGCAAATGATCTACAAATACTTAGAATAGATGAACCTCAGCTAAGAGTGGGATTCAAAATGTTCATTTCGTCTTATTTAAGACTTATCAGAAGGATATCGAAGTCCTAAATAAGATGGAGTGAACATTTTGAATCCCACTGTTAGCTGAGGTTCATCATCAAGAGGATTTACCTCTATCGACGAAATCAATACAGGATACACATATGCCAATAAGAACTTATCAAAATTCGATGCCGAATATTAACACAGAGTGAATTCAATATCATACTATTGTTAACATTTTAAACTATTCATCTTTTTAAGCAAAGATGGATAGTGGCTAGTAGTGGAATACGGTTTGACGTGCGTTTTGTCCTATTCGGGACTCGTCATCTGGATGTACCTGCATTTCAGAGTTGATGTTCACACTGAGACTTGAACTCAGTACCTTTTGCTTTCAAAGACCATCGCGTTATCCACTCAGCTACTGAGTCCAGCACAAAAACACATTAAATTACGCATGTATGCACTAAAATCAACCAATTATATTTGAAGATAGTCTTTGTCGAATGTATACACACATATACACACATGTACACACACACATAATAAGTAATTCGTAACGAATCTCTTTAATGGTGGTATGCATAAAATCTTTTTTCAAATTTGGTCCGATTAAATAAATTTTTTTTAGTATTGGGTTGTAGAGATTATTGAATTTTATTGTAGGTGATATTGGTAATGGATCTATCTCAGTTGGGGTATCAACCATGAACAACCAGTGAATACTTGATAACTATTTCATCTTAGTATGAAACTATACGGTAGTAAGCTTACTTACTTATTTATTTACACCTGTTACTCCCAGAAAAGCATAGGCCGACGACCAGCATTCCCCAGTCCACTCTCTCTTGGACCTTTCTTTCCAGTTATATCCAATTTTTGTTCATTCTTCTAATGTTTGTCTCCATTTCTCGGAGTAATGCGTTCATTAGTCTTCCTCTTCTTCTTTGGCCTTCAGGATTTCATGTAAGGGTTTGCCTTGTGACTCAGTTGGGTGCTTTCTTCAATGTGTGTCCTATCCACTTCCAATGCTTCTTCCTGACTTCTTCCTCCGCTAAAATATGGTTTGTTCTTTTCCACGGTAGGTTGTTGCTGATAGTGTCTGGTCAACAGATCCGAAGTATTTTGCGTAGACAGCTGTTAATAAACATCTGCAACATCTAGATAATGGCTTTCGTAGTTCTCCACGTCTCCGCCCCCTACAGTAGAATTGTCTTGACATTTGTATTGAAAATCCTGATTTTGTTGTTGGTTGACCGACAGTTGTTTTGAGTTCCATATGTTTTTTGTTGTAGATATGCTGCTCTTGCTTTGTTATCCGCTCCTTCGCATCTGCATCAGATTCACCGTGTTCATCGATGATACTGCCCAGTTATGTAAAGGTTTTCACATCCTCCAAAGCTTCTCCATCAAGTGTAATTCGATTGGTATAGTAGCAAGCTAGTCTAGTGGTAATAAAACCCAGGGTTTTCAGATCTTGTGAAGAATCTTTAACTGTTGGAACTATAAAGCCAAAGTCCAACAGTATACATTTATGATTTCAATCAGAATGTGTTATAGCACACCTACTATTCAGAATCATCGATGACAGCTTTTTTACTGTTCACTTGATGTATCTCGCTATGAAAAAGTCACCTATTCTGGAATTGACTCTAAATTAACTAGTCAATAACCTTTAATCGACCGGTTTTGACTGATATGAATATCAAAGTTTCATAGAAAGTCACTACTGGCTCAAATACTCTAGTGATATTCTTTTTGATCAATACATTACATAACACAAATGAAAATTCTAAAAGAAAAGTCAGTTCGGGATCGTGAATGCGCACTGCTGAGGAGTCCCATAATAGAAAGAAACAGCCGTCCAGTACTTCCAGGTTTATCCATGGTGGTCTAGTTTCAATTGACTCATGATTTCAACTTTGAGAAAGTCAATTCCCTATGTATTACAAATAAGTTTATCTGTTAACATTGTTTTATTAACTACATTCTCCCTATCTATTACTCGTATGTATTTTGCTTTTCTCAATTCTTAGAATCAACAAATGGATTATACCATAACTTACAAATGATCATATTCTCCCAGGAACTAATCAATATTCAAGATGGATGAAAAAGTCAAGGAACTTGAAGACGACGAAGAAGAGAAAGAAGAAAAAGAGGAAGGACGAAAAGAACAAACGATTGAAAATAAATCAGAATATTCTAATGAAATTCAAAAAGTTCCACACAGTATCCTTGATGATTATGATTTAAGAGGTTTTAAACGGTTTTCTTATTTATTCCATCATCAACCAAGTACTGAAACCGATAGTTTTGAAATGTTTCAATCGGTTAGTTCAACAAAATTTCTTGAAAATCTAGATGATTTTAAACATTCCACAAGTGGTAGTTGGAAATCAGTCATATCAAGTTTTGAAGATGTAAATACAACGAATAACAGTAATAACCATAAAAATAATCATCATCCAATCCCTGAAGCATCTTCATATTCATCAAAACCTATGGAGATGAAATCAAACATTGTTAACTCTTCACATACTTCAATGAATGCTCAACCTAAACAAGAACCTCAAATGAATGACTTACAAAACGTCAAGGAACATCTTGACGATTCATTCAAATCTCCAAGTAATACATCAAAAGATAATAGTTCCAGAATAAGTTATCCTGATGTAACAATGCATAAAACTGATTCATTAGATAATGTAACACGTAGATTTGAAGTAAGAAAACATTCAAAATCATCACTCTTATCCAATAACCAATTTAGACGAACAAAGTTTCTTAAACAGAAATATGCTGATCCAAATAACAATCATAATGATGATCATGATCATGATTCAACAGATGGGATTCCTAGATCATCATCAAAGTTGAAACGGACTGCTACAGAACATATAACTAATCGATATAAATATCATGATCTAACTGAATCATCTTTAATACATCATCCAAATGATAATATTCCAGTTAATCCTATAATGATACGTCGTAAATCAACAATTCATTGTTTATATCCAAGACATTATAGTGATACAATGAAACAAGATGAATGTTTAAATACTCAAACTATGGCATACGAAGATGTTCATAAGAATGATAAGATATCTATGATGGGTATAATGAATACGAATAGTAGTCATAGTAACAATATCCCTGAATTTGATACCCATCTAAATGAATATCGGTTAAGTGAAGATTTAAAATCATCATTTGAAAAAGAAGATGAAATGAAAGCAGATAATCTATTAGAACGTGAAGCCCATATTGGTGCATTAGCATTAGCATGGGCATCAGGAACGCATAAATCAAAGAAATCACCATATGATAAATATTCATTGAATAGGGAGATATCGGATAGAGTACCAGTGAAATTACGACAACATAATAATAATAATAATAATAATAATAATAATAATAATAATAATAATTATAATTATAATCATCATCATAGTAGATCAACTGTAATTAGTCCGGATAATTTTAGATTTAATAATTATACTACTAATAATAATATGAGTAGTAAAAATAGAATGACTATATCAACATTACGAGAGCTAAGTACATCAATTTTTACACCATCAAAAAGAAATTTGAGTAAGTTTATAATATACTCTTTATATATATGTAAGCTATTCGTTTTGAAAAGTAATAGTGTAGTGTGGTCTACTTATATCCACATAAGTAGTATATGGTGATGGTAAGGCATAGAATGTAGTTCAACCAAAGATCGATAAGGAAAAAACAGAAATGAAGCGCAATCGGTACGAAAATGCATGAACAATGAAATCAGAGAAGATGGATTGATATTTACAGTCAAGATTGGGACAGTTGATTGTTATTTTGCAAATTAACTGTTTACTGTCTGTAATTTGTGCTTGAATACATTCGGTTGTCCCCATCCGTGTTCTTGTTCACTACACTAGTAGTACGAAGCTGTTGACGATGAATATTTCTATAAATACATAAACATTGATTAGGTAACTATTAGAAATCAAAAAAAACTGGACAAATGTTTCAGTCAGCTGGATGTCGGTTCACGACGATAATTAACTTCAATAAGAAGAAAAAAATCAACTATTTCCTTCATAAAATCTTGATATTTTCATTTATTGAACAATATCCATTTTCATAGTTGTAAACGTGAGTCAACTGAAGCTAGACCACTACGGAAAACCTGGAAGCACTGAACGGCTGTTTCGTCCTATTGTAGGACTACTCATGATTTCAACTATATAAAATTACTAAAATCTCCACAAAAGCCCCCTCATAATGGTCATATGCTCACTAGTGACTTACTTCAAGAGGTAAATCCAGAAGTTCTAGTGAGAAGCAGTAACCAATGGAGTTAAAGCACGTCTGTTGCGCACTTGATGCGCACTGCTGAGAAGTCCCACAATAGGACGAAACGGCCATCCAGTGGTTTTATGTTTTCCCTGGTGGTCTAGCTTCAATTGATTCATAATCTCAACTATTAAAATTATTAAAATCTCCATAAAACTCCCTTGTGATAATAATCATATGTTCACTAGTGACTGACTTCAAGAAGTATTTCCTAGAGTTCTAGTGAGAAACAGTAACCAATGGAGTTCAACTGGGTCTGTTATGAGTTAGTAACTCATTGAAGACAATGGCGGTTATGTGGATCAATTTCGTGGATTAGTTGGAGTTAGACATTAAAACCGTTGGATGCCGGCCAGACGGCTCAGTGGTCTACGGGTTAAGCGCTCGCGATTTGTACAAGATTTTGCCAAATGTGGCTGTTATTAAGGGACATAGTAATTGATGGATAAGGCATAACTCAAGAATTGCAAATCATATTATGATACTTCATAGGTTCAAATAAAACTCATATTTGTTTTGTTTGTTTGTTTTCCTTTTTCTTAGTAACCAGTTCTATCCATCATCAAAATGCTACTCATCGACATAAAGCATGTTATCCAATTGATGAAACTGATAGACTTCATCATGATGAAAAGAATATTCCTATCACTACCATTACCACTACTACTCAAAATAATAATAGTAGTATTAGTAGTAGTCATAAAAATAAAACTGATTATCATTTAATACCTCAAAGTATTAAACATGCAATTATTCGGAATACAGCAAAAATTGCCATCTCACCAATTTTACATACTAATGAAGAGAATGACAATGATGAGCATTTACATACATTCAAACCATCCAATGAACATTCTTATGATTCAATAGAATCAGATCAATTAGAACAATTCAATCGAAAAGATGATCATCTAAATGAATCTCATCCCACTGAAGAACCGCCACCTTATAGACAACAACATCAGCAAAGTGAAGAACTACGTAAACTAGTCGATAATGAATCTCAACTGATATTACATAGTCAAAAATCTTCATTACAATCCGAGCAAATACATGATATTAATGGAATATTTGAAACAAATGATAATGATGAAACTAATCGACCAATTGGTATACGGGCAAAAATACGTCGTAATGCAGAAGATTTACGTTCATTATATGGTACTAGTGGTCCACTTGGTTCAGTTCAACCACAAATGAATTATAGATCGTCAAGTCGTGGAATTGGTTGGCGTTTACATTGGCGTAAAATATTTAATGAACGTCGTAGAAAATTAGCTGATTATTCATTATTTTTTGCTGTAATGGGTATACTATTAATGGTATTTGAATTGGAAATGATTATGGCTAAAGTATATTTAAGGGTATGTAAGAATAATTTTTTCAGAGTTGAAATCATGAGTCAACTGAAGCTAGACCACCATGGAAAACTTGGAAGTACTGGACGGCTCAGTGGTCTATCGGTTAAGTGCTCCAGTGCGAAGCTGGTAGGTCCTAGGTTTGAATCTCGCGGGTGAGAGATCATGGATGCGCACTGCTGAGGAGTCCCGTAATAGGACGAAACATGTGTCCAGTGCTTCTAGGTTTTCCATGGTGGTCTAGCTTCAATTGACTCATGATTTCAACTATGAAAATATTGAAATATGCACAAAAAGCCCTTCTGAAATAAGAATAAGATGAGGCATTGCATCTTTTAGCTAAGTTTATAAAATGAATTAAATAGGCTTATTTTTAGTTTAAGGTTTCTATGATGAACTAACTGTGGACAGATAACCACTGAAAACTAGGCAGTCCTTGATAGTTTTCGAATCCCACTACGGGATATTTGTGTATCGACTCGTAGATTTGAGGGTAAATTGCTTGCTATGAAACTTGAAGATCTTTGTTTATATCTCTATTAGTTGTGGATAAACATTGCCAACGAATATATTACTAAGACCAAACACACTCTTCAGTCCCTCTTGGATTTCAGTTGTTTTATAGCTATAGCCACCCATTGATGTAAACGGTAGAATAACTATCTTGACAAACAGATTACTTTTCATTAGATTTATACACTATCCAGATAGATGGTGATTAGTTTTTAAATCAGATATACACGTTCCATCTTACTTAGGATTTACCAACTGAATATAGCTGCACCCTAGTTTTGTCTTCGTTGTCTACACTAAGACTTGATTGCAGTACCTATCTCACTGAATACTAACATATGCCTGTTTGTCAACTCTTACACAGAATGAGACTAAAAGTGGTTTAATTTCAGTTAAAACATCAACGACGATCAATATAAACCCGTTTACACATGGGTATGTATCCAAACTTAATAGTTAAATGGAAAACGCCATAACATTTGAAGCGAAAGGTACTGGGTTTTAGTCCCGGAGTAGAAAACAACTTGGATGTAGGCACATCCAGCTGATGAGTCATAAGTTGGATGAAACACACGTCTCGGATTCCACTGCCAGTTATATTCCATTTATTCCATGTAAAAAACAGAATATTTTGCAAAAGTAATAATGAATCCATCAGATGTTTTATTATCATCTCTATTCATAGCCAAATACAAGTAAATACAAAAAAGTATTGCAAATCTTTAAAAGAGGATAAATTATTTCCATAAAAGATGAAACAATACAATTTGAATGAGAATGGGGTCATTAATGATTTCTTTCAGTTACTGTTATCAACGATGGATAGTGGCTAGCAGTGGAATCCAGTATGTGCGTTTCGTCCTATTTGGTACTCGTCAGCTGGATGTACCTGCTTACCACTGTTGATTTACACCCCAGGACTCGAACCCATGACTCAGTAGCTAAATAGGTAATGCGATGGTCTTTGGAGTGAACGGTGTTGAGTTCGAGTGTTCAAGTGAACATCAACTCTGAGATACAGGTACATCCAACTGACGAGTCCCAAATAGGACGAAACGCTCATCTTAGATTCAACCGCTAGCCACCATTCATCTTTGTTAATACATCACATAGTTATTGCAATAATTAATGGATAGAAAAGTAAGATATTCCAGTTGGAAATCAAGTTTATACCAGTGTGAACTAAATCACTCTTATCAGCATCTTATCTTGTAAGTTATTATCCTAACTGACTGACAGTTAAACTTTAACTTAAAATTACAATGTGCCTTTCAAAAATCCTGACACTCTAATTGGTTAAATGTGTTACATCACAGTTTCACGTTAAAATTACTGACTCAAAATATTCGTTCATCTTTAAATCCGTTCAAGTTGTTCTTTATATCACACATTGATATGTATTAAGTAATCTATTATATCTAGAACATAGATCCGTAGTATTCCGTGTTTAATTTGAACACTCGAACGCTGAAAGACCTTCCCACGTAGCAAATGAGAAGACAGGAGGCAAGTCGAAGGAATGTTATTCCAAGCAGTGTCAATCACGGTACAAAAGTGTCAGGTATTTATAGTTTTTAGTAAAAACGAAATCCAATTCACACATAGGAGGGTTATTAGCATTTATCCAATCAGAAAGCTACACATAGAGATTATGGAATATTCTTTCGAAAGATGATTAAATGGAATATGTTCGACTCTTTCTAAGCTTCTTACAGCTTCCTCAAGTTCACCTGTGAACCGTCTTCACATCATCAATGTATTAGTCACTTAATAATTGATTATTCTTAAATGACTTATTTGTGGGAATATTATAACTTTACCGAGGCTTCATCCTTAAAGTCTTCTACAGTGTCAACAGTACCAATGTAAAATCTTTTCATTCCGTAATGCATTGTCAATACCTTTTAGTACTGAGCACATCCATTCACATTGGATTATACAATAATGAAATAAAGATTAAGATCCAATGATTCATTGAAATGTACATACAGATTACGTAACAGAGACTTTCATTTACTTACCTACTTATCCTGTTTTCTTTTCTTTCATATATCTTATTCTTTATAGACATCAATCTATTCTATATTGATAAAATCATTGATCAGTGCATCAACTCTTATTCTAGTTGGTCTTACATTAGTCTATCATGCTGTTGATGTACAAGTAAGTAGAAGGTGATATCATTCAATTTCATACTCTTATATGAATACTGCATACAATACATATGTAGGATAGTCAACGAAATAGACCAGCTTGAAGCGTTAAGGCATAAAGAACGCTAAAAAAAACTCATTATCTCGTATCGGAATACTATTATAAGATCACCAAGACTTTTTTCGACCTTTCAAACCCTGAGTTAGGGGTAGTATTCATGTAGAGCTGAAGGTCTCATATGAGACTGAAGGTTTACCATTGATATTGTGGATGATTCGGCATTACTTCGGCAAGTTTTGCTGTCTGTTCATGCGCAAAATCGGTTTGTTGGTCAATTGATTTCATACATATTGGTGGTTGCTCTCCAGTGTTCTCAAGGGCCATTGTCATTGGAACATTGTAAGGGATGTCGCTATTGCTAATAGTAATGAGTTTGACTGTTATGTAAGGGGAATGGGTCAATTTTGGCCTGTTCATGCTGTACATAAGCGATTTGCCCGATCACTGATCGAAATAATTATACATCTGATGTGAATGTGCATATGAATATTGCAAATGGTCCACCAGGGTGATTGGTACCTGTGTAGTTGCGCCAAAGGATTGAGCTGTACTATTCAGATTGTAGCGTTGAAGCCTGTACGGTGTCTGGCTCTCCTGTTAAACGAGATTAAGCTGTACTGATTGGGTTGTCACGTGAAAGTCTGGGTGGTATTTGATTCTCTTGAAAACCAGTGCAAAATTACCCTGGCCCACAAGAGTATATATATTTTAGTGACCCAGTATCTGATTTCAGTTAGATCGTATGATTGATTATTATTGAAATATACATGTCATCAATCCTCGTATACAATCATCGACCTAAATTACGTTAGTGAATAACGGAATTACATAAGTCAACTAAAAGAATGGATTTTTGAATATATATACTTCGTACTATCATTGATTGGAAATTGAAGCAAAACAACATAATGCACAATGGAGAAGGTAAGTGTACCAACTTGATTTAACCAAACGTCAGTAAGATAAGAAATGTACACACAAACGGTTACATCAAAACAGTCAAGGTTAATAAGTTAATCATTAACAAGATCAAAATGTGACTAAAATGAATGAATAGATTGATCTATCCAGAGGCTAGAATAACCTATATGGGCTTCACATAGCAACCGACACTAAGTCTGTGACAATTTTAGTTGATAGAATAAGGTATAAACCTGTGATTTATTGATTAAAAGTAAAGTATTTTACCGACATCAAGTCACCTATTTGAAATGAAAATCATGATATATCTTTATATTTCATCCTTGTTAGAATATCTGAAGTTAATTTTTTTTGGGGGGGGGAACGTTTATCTGCTGGGGACATTCAGAAAACTCCTCGGAAAAAACGCTCTGAAAACACTGAGAAGCATTTTATCCAATCAGCATTCAGTAGAAGTTATGCCAGAAACATCTAGAAAGTGAAAAGTCACATATCGAGTTTCTGATTGGATGACTACCTATACTGTAACTATGTGTAGTAGGGTTCAAGAATTTTCTCAAAACCCAAAGTCATCTAAAATACTATAAAAATCCACCCTGAATTTTCTGTGCATGAACGAATCTTTATAGTAAAGTGTTTCTTTTATATTTCTTATCTTTTATCTCATGTTCAAGTTGTTGTGTACATTTAGCCTGGAGATTAATAGAAGAGCTCACAAACAGAGTCTACCGTTCAATTAGAAAGACTTATCATTATCTCTTCTCATTGTGTGTTTGTGTGTATTGAAAAACAAAAATTTAATACGTATAAGGTGCTATATAGAAATGTGTTAGTTAGAGTCATATAGAATGACTTATATGTTTTTGTGCTAAATTCGTCAGTCAATAAATGTTATCCTGTACCATATAAAAAGAGCGAACTTAATACATTTGTATATTACTCAGAATCAGAAGGGATTTTGTGGAGATTTTAGTAATTTTAAAGTTGAAATCATGAGTTGATTGAAACTAGACCACCATAGAAAACCTGGAAGCATTGGACGGCTGTTTCATTCTATTATGAGACTCCTCAACAGTGTTCATCCATGACCCCACCTCACGAGACTCGAACCTAGGACCTATCGGTCACGCTCGCTAGCGCTTAACCATAAAAAAGCCACAATCACTTGCAGTGATTAAGAACTGGTAGTTCTAAATGTTATACGCTCCATCCTCACTTTAATCCTCTGACCTAACTACAATCTAATCGTGAGCTCTAAATGACGAAACTTCAGTACGAAAAAATTAATCTCAATAGTTACAATACTCTAATTTCATTGGTAAAAATAAAAACTGAATATATTCACATTACCTATTGTGTTAAATCATTTGAGCTTATCAAATGAAGATTACGATTATCTTGAAAATTCAAACTAAAAAGTTTGTATGTTTCATTACAATCTAGTCTAATAGTTCCCTTCAGTTTTCTAATGAACTAATTTCTATGTTAACTATCAATTTATTTGAGAACTGATTCAAGGATGAACATTTAATAGAGTCGTTATTATCGACTTTTTAATGGTCCGATATCTGACTCTAATCGGATTGTATGCTAATTATCATCGAAATACACATATCGTCTATCCTGATATTAAATTACATCAACTTCAATGGCGTTGGTGAATAACGAAATTAAATAAGTCAAATTAGAGAATGGATCTTTGAATATGTATATTTTGTACAATCAATGATCTGGACAGACAATCAGAGGAACATAGCGAAATGACGCACGGTGTAGAAAGCTTTCGAAGCAACTAGATTTAATCAGGCGTTAATCAATATTTATAACTACACAAAAATAAGCTATAAACATGCGATGAGTAGAATAAGATAAGCATATACATACGTTCATATAAAAACAGTCACAGTTGATAAGTGAATATTTAACAAGGGTCAGAACGTGACTCAAAAGGGCCCATCCGGAAGCTCGAATGAGGTATATAAGCTTAACATAGTGACCGAAACTAAAACTTCTTTAGTGATTGTACTACATGAAAACAACACTTCAGAGGCTCCCATGATAAAATCCTTATAACTTAAGCGAATCTTCAAACTTCAGAGATGATATATTTCATATTGTTAAAATTATTCAGAGTGAATTGTTGAACAATACACCCATTGATATTTCTGATGGACTAACAAATGAAGGTTTGGTGGAGATTTCAGTAATTTTATGGTTAACATCATGAATCATTTGGAGCTAGACCAACATGGAAAATCTGAAAGTACTGGATGACTGTTTCGTTCTATTGTGGGAACATTGTCGGATGCCGGCCAGCTCAGTGGTCCGGCGGTTAAGCGCTCGCACACGAGACTGATAAATCCTGGGTTTGAATGTCATGAAGCTGGATCGTGGATGCGCACTGCTGAGGAGTCTCACAGTAGGACGAAACGGTCATCCAGTGCTTCCAGGTTTTCCATGGTGATCTAGCTTCAATTGACTCATGATTTCAACTATAATAATCTCATTTAACTATTCCCTTTTTCTTTTTTTCTTTTTCTTCTTTTTTTCTTATTTTAGTTATTTTGTATTAATAATTGTATTGAAGATTGGCGTATAGCAATGAATTGTAGAAAAATTTCATTAACATTAATTGAAGTATTCATTTGTCTTATACATCCACCACCAATACTATCTAATTATAATATATATTCTTATAGAAATTCCTATTATACTTCATCAACATTAGAAAGTTTCAAATATACCAATGATCATGATGTTGATGATCCCGCTGATCAAGAATCTTTATCATCAGCTAGTAGGATCACAATGAAGTCGTACTATGATAGACCAATGACTACATTATTGTATGATTCTCTATTACGTAATCATACACAAAGATTAAATGAGTATTTACCATTTACAAATGTACCATATATAAATTATCACCATAGTGATGATATTCATTATGATGATAAACCTGTACCTATAATCATCTTAGAATTGATCTTTTCAGTTCCAATGTTTTTAAGATTATATTTAATATTTCGTGTATTATTATTACATTCAACTATGTTTACTGATGCGGGTTCACGTAGTATAGGTGCATTAAATCGTGTAAAAATTAATGTTAGATTTGTATTAAAAACATTAGCTACAATATGTCCCGGTACTATGTTATTAATATTTATATTATCTATGTGGATTGTAACAAGTTGGATTATGCGTGTATGTGAAAGGTAAGTACTTGTTGTTGTTATTGTCAATTTCTTTTACTTTATAATTTTAGCTACTTATAAGTAGTTAAATTTCAACGACAAAAAATCGTACGAATACATTAGTTCCATGCTTTTTAAATGTGTATGTATGTATGTATGTATGTATGTAGTATGTATGTAGTATGTATGTATGTATGAATGAATGAATGAATGAAATTAAAAATTATTGAAGTTTTAATGATTGAATTTATGAGTCAACTGAAGCTAGACTTCCATGGAAAACCTGCAAGCACTCGACGGCCATTTCGTTATATACTACTTGTGTGAATATAAGTAAGCCACACCACTCGTCCCCCCTTTAAACCATTCGTTCTTGCGATGGTTCTGCTCGCCGTGAAAACTTTCTTCTCTTACAGCAGTCTGTGCCAAGCTCTCCGTCAAAATGTCGATTCTGTGACTCGCTGACCTCCATAGCTCCGTCGACGTGCGGAGGCACCAACACTCGACATCCATCCGGCTCCTGAAACGTTCAACACTCGCAATCCACCGGCCTACTGAGCCATCCGATGTCCATTCCAACGCTCCTCTCTGCCAACAGCACCTGCTACAGACAACGCCGCTCTCCTGAACACTCCACCCACAATACTATCGGTTGTAAGAAAGATTAAATCTACAAAAAGTGATTCCAGAAAAGAGAATGAATTCTCAAGATAAAAAAGCACTAAAAATCATTTTTGTTTCAAACTCAAGATCTGTTATATCTAGAGCTTTGATCCTTACTATGCCGCGTACTAATAGACTACTTGAGCGTCGCAAGAGAGAAAACAGAAGACTAGTAAGTAGGAACTTTTATTCCCGAAAACAGTGTCAAAAATATAGTACAGAAATCTCATGCATTTATAGTTATTGGTTGAATGTAAATCATCGTTTCCGACAGCCAATAGGCACATAGGGGGGTCCTTCTTATTCATTCAATGGGGAAGCTACATGTCAACATTCTAGAATATTCCCCTAGCAGTGATTGGATGGAATGTCTTCAGCTCTTTCTGGCCTTATTGTGGCTTCCTAGAGTTTACCAACGAGCCATCCTTACAAGATAACAATTTATTCATTCTTCTACTTTGTAATGATCCATTCAAATCAGTTTTATGTTTAAACCTTTTACTGTTCTTTCTGATTAGAGAACAAAATAAAGAATATGAGAAACTTTTAAATTCAATGTGGTTAATTGCTGTTACATTTTTAAGTATTGGCTATGGTGATATGGTGCCAAATACAAACTGTGGTAGAGCAATATCAGTACTAGCTGGTGTTATGGTAAGTTATTATTATTATTATTTCTGGCTAAAACATCATTTTGTTATAAATAATGATGTAGATTTCCAACAGAATAACCAATCCATCATTCAATCGGTCAAACGAAACGTAGAACCTGACATGTGTGTACATCGCTTCAAGTTTTCATACCCGTTTGCAACAGCAAAATGAAATTGTTCGGGTAAATTCCATAGTAACAGTGTAGTGAGTAAAACATGGGTGGGGACTAATTGCAGACTATCACACTAAAATCTGACAACCATACAGTAAATAGTTAATTTGCAAACTATCAATCAATTATCTCAATCTTGACTATTCCTTCTGCAAATATCAGTCCATCGTCTCTGATTTCATTCTTTATGCATTTTCATACCAATCGCGCTTTGTTTCTGTTCTTTCCTTATCGATCTTCTACTAAAATACATTCTATACCTGATCATCACCATAAACAGAACTCAACTTGATTTTTTGCTTTAAATTTGTTTATATGTAACTTATTTACTTCATTGCTGATATTTTATGACTAGTCTGTATGAACTAGACTAGCATTGAAAACCGGGAAGCACTGGACGGCTGTTTCATTTTAGTATGGTGGTCTAGCTTAGATAGACTCATGAATCCAACGGTTAAATTCTATAATCTTTTCACATATCCCCATATTGATATTAAACATTTACAAATACAATGAAGTACACAATCACACAGACAAACAAATTACTCATCAGTTGGAGATCATTACTAATCACTTATTATTAGTTTAGAACTAAACCTACCAATTCATTCATACATTGAAATGATCAAAATAGCAGTGAAATAATTGCTAAACAGATTATATAGATGTAGATGTCATTGTTTACTATTAATTACTATCTAAGAACTTTTGTATTTAAACATTTCGTATTCATTGCAGATTTCAGATAACATGATATGTCTTGTAAGTTGAACGCTTTATTGAGATCCTAAGCTATTCGGATAACCCAAGGGCTAAGACTACTAAGCGACTTGAACACTAGAGAGAATACACGAGTATCAGAGAAACACTTTACTGCAAGGTTCACTTTTGTACAGAAAAACATTTATAGAAGTTAGCATATGTTAAATCAACATCCTATTTCAGTCAATCCATTTAACGACATATATTGCTACCGACCAATAGTAGCATGCCACGTTGGACTCTAGAATGTTCTATCGTACTCTGATTGGCTGGGGCACTTTATGAGCCTCTGGAGGCTCTGTTGGAGTTCTCTGAAAGCCGACTCAACATAACTAGTCAATAATCTAATAAGAATGTGTCAGATACATTGAGCACTGGATCGTGGATGCTTACTGTTGAGGAGTCCCATGCTGGGATGAAACGGACGTCCTGTGCTTCCCGGTTTTAAATGGTGGTCTAACATCAATCGATTCATGATCTCAATCAAAAAAGTATTCGCTAGTCAACTGGACGTTATCAAGACAACAAACTCTGCTGCAATGCAGCAATTTGAAAGACTCTTCCGGTCTCCCACATTGTTCGGACGTTCCGTGTACCTATAAAAATTGCTGCTCTGGTTGTTAGAAGGTGCTTTAATCTCATTATTTCCGAAGAATCTCGGCTTTCATCATGAGGCGTTATAATTCTTCTTTCAACTCCCGCGGCATATTTCAAATGGTTTGAATAGTTTTTTTCTGTTTAGCGTTTTTTAAGCGAGTTAGTTTTCTTGGGGGTGGGGTCGCTAACCCCATGCTCAACCCTCCTTCTTTATCCGGGCTTGGGACCGGCAGTAGCCCCCAAAGGAGCTACAGGTGGAGACAATAAATTAACCGGTAGAAAATAATCTCTCTTCAACCAACCAGAATCAATCTAACCTACTTGTTATGTGTTACGTATGTAAAAGTCCGGGTTGAAAAGTGCCATAAATCTTATGACTACTTACTCCTGTCACCCCTCGTCGAAGGGCGTAGGCTATCCACTAGCATTCTACATGGAAGTCTGTCCTGAAATACCCTTCAAATTGTTATTTATTTATTTATTTAAACACATACATAATGGCACAAATGAGCACTAGATACACATGCACCACACAAACCTACTGCCTCCAGGGAGGATCGGACTCCCGACCCCTGGTTTACGAGACCAGTGCTCTACCACTGAGCTATAGAGGCGCGGCACACCTAGTTGATTCTCTTGATATCTGCTTCCAATTCCTAATGCAATGTTCTTTGGTCTTCCTCTTTCTCTTTCTCCCTTTAAGATTCCAATTTAACTATTTCAGTAGGTATTCAGTAGGTATTTCAGTAAACCATGTGTTGTTATCATTGAAGAAGAAATATTTACAACCAACTGTCTACCGTTTTATTCTCAATGACTGATAGATTAAATTTCTTTTCATATTGATGTAATTCAATGGAATATATATGGTACACAGCTATTGAATAATCATTAATGTTGTGTTGATTACAACTTCAGTCTTCAGTAATAAGAATAGGAGGTCCATTGACCTATTTTAATCCTTGCAGAATTGTTACACTGTCGAGGTCTAATCTCGTCTTGAATATATCAACAGAAAGTGTTGATATTATATGTTCTGGTAGATAATTCCAATAATTCACTACTCGGTGCGAGAAACGGAACTCCACACGTAGACGATTTGATCTCGGTTTTTGTCCACTCAAATGATCAGTCCTAGATGGAAAAAAAGATAGGACATGTTAGTACCAAGGTCATCGTTCAGGATACGGTATGCCAATATTAGATCACCTCGTATTCGCCAGTAAGATAATGGAAATAAGTTGAGGTGTATCAGTCTTTCTTCATAATAAAAGCCAGATAGACCTTTTACAATTTTAGTCCACCGATATTGGACTCGTTCCAACATATCCGCCTCATATTTAAAACAAATACTCACTGCTTAAATCTCATATTCCAAATGTTGTCGTACGAAATTTCGATATAATAATCTAAACATTTTCTCATCCAGATACCGGAAAGATCTACGAATAGACCATAATACCCTATAACTTGTTTACTAATTATTTCCCCCTTTTCTTTTGATTTCTCTACAGGGTTCTGCATGTACAGCATTAGTTGTTGCAGTTGTTGCACGTAAATTAGAATTAACAAGAGCTGAAAAACATGTACACAATTTTATGCAAGATAATAAATTCTATAAAAATGTATGTTATTATGTATATGTATATATACTACTGAATTCATTACTTATATCATTAATTCTATAGTATGTTTTTATAAATAGGTTTACGTATTCATTCAGCTTCAAGTGTAATTTGTTGTATGTAACGATGAATGGTACTAGTTTGTCAACTAGACAGAAGTATGTGTCTGGATGATATCTTTGGCTGGTTGTATAGGAGATCTTTGAAGATTGTTGTCATTGATAGCTTACAATATTAAGTAACCTTATTTACATAACTGTATCATTCTATTACGGATATTATTAGATTTGCTTTAAATATGAATTGCTAGTAGATGAACCCGCAGTTCCAAAGTGCCATCATTAGAATGGTCGTGATTACTTTGAAGAGACCTCACTATTACTTACCCGGTGATCCAAGTAATATTTCTAAGGCATCTGTGGTCAAATACTAGTAACTTACGAGTATCTTCTACTCTTAATGGCCATGTTTCACAGCCGTAAAGTAGAACAGAGCGAACTGCTGAGCAGTATACTCGTCCCTTAATTGATAGACGGATATCTCGTCTTCGCCATAGGTGACATAAGTTGGCAAAAGCCAAACGAGCTTCTTGAATCCGTGCAGACGTCTTGTCAGACACCAACCCATTAGAGCTGATCAGACTTCCAAGATAAGTGAAGTTATCGGCACGTTCGACTACTTCATTTACTATCGTTAGTTCAGGTTTTGACGTAGGCCAGTCCTGGAGTAACAATTTACATTTAGATGGAGAGGAACGCATCCCAAACATCCTGGCACTATTACTCAGTTCTAACAGAAGACTCTGAATTTTGTCAGCGTCTTCACCAAATAGGACTATGTCATCTGCGTATTCTAAATCGATCAATGGAACTCCTGGTAGGAGATCAATTCTTGAAAATTCATTCGAAGAGAGTGTTATTTCCAGCAATAGGTCTTCAATGAAGTTAAACAAAAACTGAGAATAATTAGTAATGGATTACCTTACAACTTAGTGATCAATAAGTATGAATACTTAAGTTAGTAGATTTTAAAATATTAGTAATATATAGATATCACACTGGCTATTGTACAACTCGGAAGATTTGGACTTCTCAGATGACTTAACTCATCTATCCAATACACACGAACAAATACAGATGAAGAAAACTACTGTTAAAACCCAATCACACTTGATGGAGAAGCTGTGAAAGATGTGGAAACATTCACGTACCTGGGAAGCATCATTGATGAACAAGAAGGATCTGATGCAAATGTAAAGACGAGGATTGACAAAGCAAGAACGGCATTTCAACAAGGTACAGGTATTTCTAAACAATTGTCTAGGCAAGGTACTCAATGTCCGTTGACTGGATACCATCAGCAAAAACCTACTGGGGGAGAGAACAAACCGACTTCCAGCTGAAGAGGAAATTAGGAAAAGACGTTGGAGTTGAATAGAACATACATTTCGGAAGTCATTGAACTGCATCACGAGGCAAGCCCTAACTTGAAATTCTGAATAAAAATGGAAAAGAGAAAGGTCAAAGAACACACTGAGTCGGGAACAGGAAGCAGACATGAAAAGGATGAATAACAACTGGGAAGAACTGGAAAGTATTACTCCAGGACAGGGGTGGATGGAGAATGCTGGTGGGTGGCCTATGCTTCCCCCACGAAAGGTAACAAGCGTAAGTAAGTACATTGGCTATTATACTGCAATCAGATGATAAAAACTGAAAAGATATTTTTAAGAAATCCATATTTTCTCTTTAAAGGACTGTGTGAAAAATTCCAAAAATTTTCCTATTTTTTTCTATTTTATAAAACAGAATAATAACGGAAGGGGTTTTGGTGGATATTATAGTAATTTTAATAGTTGAGACCATGAACCAATTGGAGCTAGACCACCATCGAAAACCTGGAAGCACTGGACGGCCGTTAGCTCATGATCCTAACTATTAAAATTACTATAACATCCAATAAAACCCTTTCTGATATTAATCATATGCTCACTGATCACTAGGTTCAAGAGTTATATCATGGAGTTCTAGTGAGAAGCAATGACCAGTAGAGTTCAACTGGGTCTATTGTGAGATAGTAATTCACTGAAGACAATGGTGAATGGTTGCTCAATTTCGTAGATTGGTTGAAGTTAGATATGAACACAGTTGGATGCCGACACGGTGGTCTAGATGTTAAGCGTTCGCACGCGAGACTGGTAGGTTGCGTGTTCGAACCTCGTGAGGCGTGATCGTGTATGCGCACTGCTGAGGAGTCCCACAGTGGGACGAAACGGCCATCCAGTACTTCCTGGTTTCCCATGTCAGTCTAACTTCAACCGACTCATGATCTCAACTACTCAAGGAGAAATATCCCTTAGTAATCTATCTACCTTTTATTGTTTTATTGTTTATTTTTAATTATTTTGATTAGCTTCGACATTCAGCTGCTAATGTTTTACGTGAAACTTGGTTATTTTATAAATATACAAGACTAGTAAAACGTGTTAAACCAGGTCGTGTAAGAAGACATCAAAGAAAATTTTTAACAGCAATAAGTAGGTGAGTTATTAAAAAAGAAAATTGATTTATGTATTAATAGTAAGCATTGATACATTTACATTTCTTTCATTAAATTAATCTTTAAAAAGAAGATATTAAATGGATCCGAAAGAAAATTTGTGGTTTGGTGGTGCCCCCAAATGCCCTGGTATGGCCGAGAGTGGGTAAAAGTCCGCTCTCCCTCTAAAAATGCTCTCACATGGCCATGCATATATAGCGTCTGTCAGGGAAGTCCTACTCACTGCCTTCTCACCACACGGGTGTTGTTTTCGAAATTAAAAAGACGAAAACCGAATATCCAACGCAATAAACGGGTTGTTCTATATGTAGGATCCACCTAGAGGAGTTTGAAAACTGTGATTTCAAACCAATGGTGCACGTGGGCTCCAAGATCTTGAAGGAACAAATGGCGTATGAACTAATTGTTGGTCACCGATTACCATGGGACTGAATCTCCTTAAGATGCTCCACTGCCTTGTGGATCAGACCTTTATGTCAAAGGCTTGGGGCGTGACCCCCTAAGTAAACCACCTGCTTCAGTTTTGGCACCTGGGCAGTATCAGAGAGCTCATACTAACCAAATGAGACTTGTGCGGTGCATATATATCTGGAGCTTTCTTGTACCAATATTTATGCGTTTAAATAAATAAGTATGCATCATCAACCGAAAGTGAAATTCCTAGTGGCAGAAGGTTAAGAAGATCGAAGAGAAGAGAACAAGAACAAAGGAAGATTGGTGTGGAAATGAAGGAACAGTGAAGTCTGAGACAATTGATGGACATTTTGCAAATGAAATATTTACTGAATGGTTATTCATCCTTTTCATATCTGCTTAGTATTCCCGACTCAGTATGTTCTTCAGCTTTCCTCTTTTCCGTTTTCATTCACGATTCCAAGTTAGTGCTTGCATCGTAATGCAGTTTGATGACTTCCGAAATGTATTTCTTATCCACTTTCAACGTCTTTTCCTAATTTCCTCTTCATTTGGAAGCTGGTTTGTCCTTTCCCATAAAAGGCTGTTGATGATAGTATCCGGCTTGTAGCTCTTCTAGAGTTACTGCCGGTCCCAAGCCCAGGTGAAGGAGGAGGGTTGGGCATGGGGTTTGTACCTCCTATACTTAGTGAATAGGTCAGAAAATTTATTTAAAGGCGAGACTATAATTTATAGATGACCTTTGAACGAATCTCAGATTACCTTGAGAAATATTAGCCAATCAGTTAACAGTTAGTATAGGGTAAAAATATGTTATACAAAACCAAAGAATTAAAGCGGAAACACTACTTTTATATGGTCTCAAAACTTGTCAAGGTTAGAAAAAGGTTCAAAAGTAGAGGAACTCATCCATATGGCTCCATAATAGTTGGTCTCTGGAACTATGATAAGGTCTCAAAATCACTCTCAGACTCAACCACATAACTTCAATATTGTTTGTGTGTAGTCCGGTTGTGTAAGTTTGTAATTTTTATTGATCACATATCCCAACAATACTCACACCTCTGAACAGCCGAAGCTTCAGTAAAATCTGCGAATATTACATCCAATGTTACTGGTGCTTTTTCATACAGTTGGCGGCAATTATTGTAATTTGTCTTAGTCTCAATATGGATAGAGCGATAAAGGTTCCTATTCTAGCAGACATCTTCCTTAAACATATATTACATCAAAGGACAACATCACGGTAGTCTGTACAAGGTCTACAAGTCATTTAACACTTGGAATTACAAATACAGGAACTTCTTAGTAGTTTCATTTATTGTAGCCGCTTAATGGTCATGTCTTCTCTAAAATCCTCTGTGAACCGATTATGTATGAGCATCAGGTACTGAAATTGGCGCCGTCACCTTAAAATCCTCCAAATGCTTCTGATTTGCTGGTTCACAAATTATAGTCTCGCCGATAAGTCTTGCTAATTGAACGCTATACTCGGTTCCTAAGCTATTCTAGTAACCTTCAAGCTAAATCTACACATCAACTTGAACACGAGAAAAAAGGCGCAAAATATGAAAGAAGCACTTTACTCCAAAGGTTCATTCATGTACACAAAATATAGGGTTTTTATCGTGTTTTAGAAGTCCTATGGTCTTCCCGAAAATTCTGAAATGCAATTAAATATGGTAGCAGTATAGGAAATCATACAAACAGGAACTCTACATGTGAATTTTCACTTTCAAGATGTTTCTGGCAAAACTTCTAATGAACACTGATTGGATAAAATGACTCTTAATGTTTCCTAAGCGTTTCTTGTCTTTTGTAAGAAGTTTTCTGGATCGCTGCAACATGACCGCTATCGATCAAGTGTGAAAGAACCGAGCTGTATATTTTCTTGACAGTACCTTTTCTTAACCACAAATGGAGGGTGGTTCATTAACTCTTTGAATGCACTATCAAATAACTGAACCGAAGAGTTAGTGAATACCTCCTTCAAGTCTTGAATAGCTATTGGACTATTTATTTCTTTTAAAAATTTTATAATTTATTTTAATAGATTAAGAAAAGCAAAAGATAATCAACGTAAACTGAAAGAAGATGCTAATTCTATGGTGGATTTAGCGAAAGTAAGTAAATATTCACCTAGAATGATTAATGATTGTTTGTTATTCGTTAATTTTCATAGTTGAAATCATGAGTCAATTGAAGCTAGACCACTATGGAAAACCTGAAAGCATTGGACGGTAGTTTCGTCCTATTTTGGACTGACTTCAAGAGATATTTCATGAAGTTCTAGTGAGAAGCAATGACCAGTGGAGTTCAACCACGTCTGTTGTGAGATATCAACTCTCTGAAGACGATGGCGGATGTGAAACTCAATTTCGTGGATTGATTGAAGTTAGACATTAACACTGTTTGGATGCCGGCTCAGTGGTCTAGATGTTAGGTGCTCTGACTCGAGACCGGTAGGTCCTGGGTTCAAATCTCGTGAGGCGTGATCGTGGATGCGCACTGCTGAGGAGTCCCACAATAGGACAAAACAGCCGTCTAGTGCTTCCAGGTATTCAATGATGGTCTAGCTTCAATTGACTCATGATTTCAACTATGAAAATACTGAAATCTCCACAAAACCCCTTCTCCTTAATTTTCAATTTGTTTTTCATACACATTAACTTGATTTGATAATTTTTTTCAAATTTGATTATATATTCCAACATGAACTACATAATATAGGCACTATTTACAAATTAGCTTGACAGGAGGTTAGTAGAAGGCTAGATTATCTTGGTGATAGTGTAGTGAACGAGAAAACAAGTGGGACAATCGAGTGTATTTGTGTTATATCTAGAACATAGATTTTTAATATACCACGTATAAATGGAACACTAGAACCATTTCAAGTCATGAATGAGAAGACAGAAGACAAGTGGAAGGAATGTTATTCCAAACAGTGACAAATATGGCAAGAAACTGTCAGGTAATTATAGTTTCTAGTAAAAGCGAGATCATCATTATAGTCATCCAACCCGCATATAGTGGTTTTTAGCATTTGTCCAATAGGGAAGCTACACGTAGAGATTATGGAATATTCTTCCAAAACATGATTGGGCGGAATATCTTCGGCTCTTTCTGAGCTCCTTAGAACTTTCTCGAGTTCACCCGTGAAAACAAAACTACAGAATCCCTTAGTAAAATCGGAGAACCATACAGTATATACATCATTCGCAAAATGTCAATCAATTGTCTCAGACTTCATTGTCCCTTTGTTTCCACATTATTGATTCTCTGTTCTAGTCCCCTTTTCTTTGATCTTCTTAACCTTCTGTCACCAGGCATTTCACTTTCGATTGACAATACATACTACTTATATCTGTCGATATCAGTAGTACACACCACAGTAGCATATCAGTCCCCTCAAGATTAAAGTCAACCTACTACTGAGGAGTTTCGTACCAAGTCAAAACAACCTCCAGGGTTTCCTGGTTTTCAATGGTGGTCCCGCTTAGATCGACTAGAGAATCCAACTGTTAAAATAAAATACATCGTTTATACTTTTCATAAATTTCATTTTCGTTATTCAATATTCATTTGTTTTGTTATTCTTGTTTCTTGAATAACTTTTCTAGCTACAAACTAGTATATATGAAACTGTAAATCATATTCGAGCTGATCAGACAATTTTTGTTCAACGTTTGGTCGGCGTTGAAAAATGCATGTCATCAATTCAGGTAAACATTAATAATCCACTTGGTACTGTTTGCTTGAGTCTTCCAATTGATGTTTAGAACTGCAACTGATCAGTCTCGTATTGGGATATGTGCATTCTGTATGGATTGACTCGATATTGCCTTAAGTCACAAGCATTCTAAGCAGAGATGGATGGTGGCTGGTAGTGGAATAGAGGAGGTGCGTTTCACCCTATTTGGGACTCGTCAGATGTATGTTGATACTCAATCCGGGACTCGAACCCAGAACAGTTCGCTTCAAACGCCATCGTGTTATCCATTCAGCTACCGAGTCGCTATAATAATATTAAATTGTTTTCCATTTCTCTTATTATTAAGTAGATATTAAAAATATGAAATTAAGATTTCTCAAAAATATTTAGACTCTAATGTTCAATGTATAATAATCAAATAGACATTAACGGCATTGGATACCGGCTCAGTGGTCTAGAGATTAAGCGATCCGGCGAGAGACCGATTTACCATTCCTGAGTTATCCCCAGTCTCTTAATTACTGTCCCCCCTATATTCACAGCTACATTTTGCTAAATCTTGTGCAAATGTATATTTTCTATTTTATGGTATGATGCGGTCAGTTTGATTGGTATATAAACTCAGTATAGTTGAGAATAATGATTCATATTGCAGAAGCTGTTAATGGTGTTCTGTATTTAATTGGTAGGGATAGACAGATAGAAGGACCGATAATTACTCAAGACTGCTCATACGGCTTTCTGTGTATCACTGATTGATCAACAATTTCGGCAAGACTATAATCTATGGACGACCTTTGAGCGGATCTCAAGTAACCTTGAGAAATGTTAACCAATCAGTAAACAGTTAGTATAGAGTAATAGTATATTATACAAAACCAAAGAATAAAAGTGGATACACTTCTTTCATATGGTCTCAAAACTTGTCAAGGTTAGAAAAAGGTTCAAAGGTTCTAAAATCGTAATGCATAAGGTAGAGGAACTCATCTATATGGCTCCATAACACTCGGTTTCTAGAGCCATGATAAGGTCACAAAATCACTCTCAGCCTCGACCACATAGCTTCAGTATTGTTTGTGTGTTGTCCGGTTGTGTAAGTTTGTAATTTTTATTGATCACATATCCCAACAATACTCACACCTCTGAACAGCCGAAGCTTCAGTAAAATCTGCGAATATTACATCCAATGTTACTGGTGCTTTTTCATACAGTTGGCGGCAATTATTGTAATTTGTCTTAGTCTCAATATGGATAGAGCAATAAAGGTTCCTATTCTAGCAGACATCTTCCTTAAACATATATTACATCAAAGGACAATATCACGGTAGTCTGTACAAGGTCTACAAGTCATTTAACACTTGTAATTACAAATACAGGAACTTCTTAGTAGTTTCATTTGTTGTAGCCGCTTAATGGTCATGTCTTCTCTAAAATCCTCTGTGAACCGATTATGTATGAGCATCAGGTACTGAAATTGGCGCCGTCACCTTAAAATCCTCCAAATGCTTCTGATTTGCTGGTTCACAAATTATAGTCTCGCCATAATTTTACTGCTCTTCGATTGGCGGTCGTATAACGTCATATATCAACTGGGCACTTAAGCAATCGATATAACAATAACCACTGAGCGCCGGCATTTAACAGTGTTACTGTCTAATGTCAATCAATTGAAATGCTTCCAGATTTTCAATAGTGATCTAGTTTAATCAAACAAAATATTTTACGTAAAACAATTTATATAACCAAGTATTAATCCAATTCTTTTCTCTTTCTCTTTTACCCCCCCCCGTTTTCTTTCAACATATCCAAAAATTCAATAATTCAGTCTTATATAAATCAAATGTCTGATACATTCACAGGAATAATTGAAACATTTGGAACTTGTAATAACATAGTAACTATACCATTAGAAGATGAAACAACATCATCTAATATGAATGTAACTACATAAATAAATCACTGATAGAGGTAATTCAATATACGTTACTTATGACATTTCACTATTCAATATGTATAATTCAACATGTAAGATATGGTAATATACATACATACAAAATCATCATCTATGAACTAGATCATTTGTATATACATAGTAATATTGGATCTTAAAAGTAAACAATCATGAAAGATCTTAACTGTTTAATCAATTGCCTTCTTATTTACCTATTTTGTAATTTGTAACCATGCCAATTAAATTTATGGAAATAATTTATCACCTCTCAACACCCCCTCCTTCCAGTCCACCCCCCATTGAAATGAATTAATTTCAACTATTTTTTATAATATGTAATAATTTATTTTTAAATTTAACACTTCTCTTTTTTTTTCTTTTCTCTTTTTTCGATATCCTTTATTGATTATCTTTAAAGAAAAGAAAATAAGATTAACAGAGTAACTATAGTATTTGGTTACCAGCTTAGTAACTAATACTTTCCTTTATGATACTAATTTAGTAAATGATTCAATGGTTCAATATTATTAAATTGAATTCTTATCTTCTTTCTTTTTTACATTCTTAATTTTTGTTTAAATTCTTCAATAACCATAGCAACAAAGCAACTTAATAAGTCCGTATCATTTTGAAATCATAATATTTAGAGAAATATTGTTTGTTTTTTTCTTTCTTTTGTTTTTTCTTTTTTCGCTTCTTGTGTATATACGAAAACAAAAAAAAAGAAAGATGAAAAAATAAACGATTAGATTTTGAAAAACTTACAAAAGTACACTTTCCTCAAATGACTTGATATTACCGATGGGTGGAGAGAATAAGCTCTCCTTCTCGAAATGCTCTCACATGGCTATGTGCATACAACCACTGTCAGGAAAGTCCTACTCACTGCCTTCTCACCACATGGGTGTTGTTTACGGAATTGAAAGAACGAAAAGCGAATGTCTGACACTTTAACCGGGTTGGTGGACACGGAAAGTCCACCTAGGGAAGTTGGAAAACCCTGATTCCAAATCAATGTTACACATGGGTTCCAGGATTCTGAAGGAACAAATGGCGTACGAACCAATTATTAGTCACTGACTACCATGGGACTGAATCTCCTGACGTTGCTCCACTGCCTTGTGGGTCAGACCTATAGGTCGAAGGCTCTGAGTAAGGCCCCTAAGAAAACCACCGGCTTAGGTCTGGGCACCGAAGCAGTATCCCAGTCCTCACACAAGTCGAATGATCTAATTGGTACCTCCTTGTAGTAATGTTTATGTGTTTAAATAAATAGAATAAATAAGAAATAGTGAAAATTGAATAAATTTTTTTTGGTTGAGAGATTGATAGACTTTATTGATGGAATCATCCATTCATTGATTTCGATTGGAACACCACATGGAACATGGGAGTACTTGATAACTTTTATTTTATTATAGGACTCTACAGGGTTGCACACCAATTCCCATGTTATGGGGTCTAACCCAGGAGTTCGACCATGTTTGAAGTGAGATAGTATTAGTTACTAATGTTAGTCGCTCTAAATCACAAGCGAATTAAATTTGATAGTTTATCATTGGATTCTAAACTCAGTTGCCAAAAACGTTACACGCTGACTACAAGATCTCAAAGTTTGAGGTGGGATCCTTGAGTTTGTAAAGAAGCACTTCTACAGAGTGATATATTAGGACGAAAAAACTCCTAGTACTCCTTGCTACTCAGTAGTGTTACCCCAAACGAAGTTAGTGTGACAATAAGCATCCACATACTCCATATGTGCTACAATAAATAAGATCTTTATGACAAAAGCATCTGCAATGCAAAAGTGAATTTAGTCGTGGATCCCTCAACATCTTTAACTGAATCTTGAAATATTATAAAAGAATGAATCTGAGGCTATTGTAGACTAAATGACGCAATCAATATATACTATCCTTCGTCAGTTCATGCTGAGAGATGATAACGGATGCAGTAAAGCAGCTAAGACAAACGACTTAAGTACATAGTCTTAAAGGAGTAGATGACCTGGCCTCGGTTGAAATGACTTACATTTCATCTAGCGGCGCATAAAAGGGAAACTACACGACAATTTGCTAAGTGGAAAATCTTTCTAATGTACCTTTCAAGATCATTTTAAGCGCATTACTAATAATATCTACCTCAAACATAAGACTCATAAAAGACTCTCAATTTAAGAAACACATATATATACGGATGTACAGCTTTGAGAATGACTGTCTTTGGTGTAACCGAAGACATACCGTAATGACGAACAATTCGCAGCACAGATATATCCTTTTCCTGGTGGTACGTTCTCTGAGCTAAACGGTTTAATCGTAAAGCGTTTCTTGACGCTCTAGACAAAATCTTATCAGAACCTAATTTACATGGAAGTGTGCTTGTTAATTCTTCACATTTACACACTGTTAGGATATTCACAAGAATATCCCAAAAATTATCTCGAATGTAAAGTGGTATGTTTTCAGACTCTTCACATAATTCGCATGTTATTTCCTATTGGCCATTATTTACAGTTGTCCTAACTATGACTTTCATGTGTCGTTTCCCTATTGGTCAATTTTCAGTTGTCCTAATTATAACATTTACGTGTCCTTCCTTTCCGTTGGTTACTGTCAATAGTCATCGTAACTGTATAAATATGCCTTGTCTGTAAACCATTTTTGTTCTGCTGCTGACCCCATAAACAATTCTCATTTGACGGCTGTGTTTTGATTTATTGGATTTGGGGAACAGTATTGCGGTCGAACTAGGATATCTGAATTTGCTCAATCGGTAGAATTTCGTGTAGGCTTATTGCAATACGTAATATTTGGGAGAATTTTTATTACACACGAAGTAGGATAACTGATAAGATAATGAATGGAACTACAATTGAATATTCGCAATTAAAAGTAATGAACACACTCTTTGGTTGCAGTTTTACTTAAAATTGCTTTCATTAAACATAATTCAATAATGAAAGAAGAAGTGGTTCAATGCACAGACACATCAAGCACGGTTTAAGTTCTGTATTATATCCTAAGTTGCTTAAGTATGTGAATTAGTGACAAAAGAAACATCAGGCATGTTTGGAAAAGATGATTAACTTAAATTTAAACACAATTCTATTCGAATTCATTTGTAATGGGTTCGAGTTCTCGAGTAAACACCAACTCTAGGATGCAGGTATACCCGCCTGACTAGTCCCAAATAGGACGAAACGCACGTCCTAGAATCTACTTCTAGCCATCATCCATCTCTGCTTATCAATATTGAAACACAGATTAAGCACATATGGAATTTAATTTACATTTATAGAAATACTACCTAACTGACCTTATCTAAGTAGATGGAGATAGCAGTTTGAACCTGTAACTTACAATGTTAAATTAGATTGTTCTTTTTATACTAAAGCACAATTGTTTCAATCAATATCAATTTAGAGCCTAGAACAGATCTACATTGACCCAAGGGCCTCCAAATGCCCTGGTACGGCCGAGAATTTTTATGAGTCCGCTCTCCCTCTCCAAATGCTCTCACATGACCACGCGTATATAGCTTCTGCCAAGAGAGTCCTATCCACTGCCTTCTCATTCCATGGGTGTGGTTCACCAAATTACGATGACGATAAGCGAATGTCAGACGCTTTAACCAGGTTTGTGGACACGGAAAGTCCACCTAGGGGAGTTAGAAAACCACAATTCCAAACCAATGGTGCACATGGGCTCCAGTATCCTGAGGGAACAAATGGCGTATAAATCAATCGTTGATCACTGGCTACCATGGGACGGGATCTCCTCACGATGTTCCAATGCTTTGTTGGTCAGACCTTTAGGTCAAAGGCTCCAAGTGTGGTCTCCTAAGAAAATCACCTGCTTCAGTTTGGGCAGCTGAGCAGTATCACAGCCCTCACACAAATCAAATAAGATTTGTGTGGCGCATATGTATTCGGTGCCCCTTTGTACCGATATTTATGTGTTAAAATAAATAAATAAGTTTCCATAACATAGGCAAGTCTATAATTTTATTAACAAAATGCAAGGAATACACTTTGAGTACGACTAATACTTGTGATAAGTCAAAATAAACTCTGTCGACGAGGTAAACACAGAAAAGAAAGATAATACGTAAACATATATTACAAAGAAATGCAGGTTACACTTATATATTATACATGTTAATACACCTTTACACACACACACACACAGTGCATGAGAGTGAAAGTGAGTAAAGGAAGTATATGTAGGATAAATAAATAGATACATATGCTCTTCCTAAGCACATTTTTTATCTACACATCCTTTGCCTAATTCATTATATTCTTGATTAGATATCCACATTTGTTGAAATGTACCCTGGAAAAAAAAATGGAAAAAAAGAAATTAAACATTTAATCAATGTCTGTGAAATATGGCTGTTGTAAATAGAGGATATTCGGAGGTTATTAGTATTCAATCATAGAAGCGCTCTAACCACTGTTTGCATATTTTGGGACTATCGAGTTAGCAATCCTGAAGTTAAACACACAGTACTAGATAAATATGGTAAACTGAATGACAAAGTAGTGAATATTTATCGACTGAGATAGTTGGCACATGTATTACGCATGCTGACCAACCCACCACTTACATCGACACACGATGCTATCTGATATAGAAGTAGGTTGGAAGAATGTTAGAGACGGAAAAACCAAGATATGACACCATTCCATGAAAACACTAACTGTTAGACTGAGACATATAGATGAATGTGTGCAAACTACATTGTTTCAGTTTACATGATTATCGTAACCAGTGGTTAGAGAGTTTGGGTCACATGGTTCCGAATTGTTCACGATGAAGCAGGTGTATCCTCTCCTTTTATTCCTTTATATTCGAAGTTTTTTACATTCCTCATAACTTTTTCTACTATTTCACTAATTTATATTTCCTTCTGAAGTAGCATTTTCGACGCCTAATCTTTCTTTTTTGCACTAATGCTGTTACTACCTCTACTGTTCTGAGATTTTTTGCTTGATAATTTCATCACTATTGTTGTAATGAGGTATGGAAACTGAAACCGACGTACGTACATGTCAGGCTCTATTTTTGCGTACAACTGGCTGACTTTAGTGCCATAAGAAGTACCAGAAACCGGAAAAACATAAGGAAGAAATTTCTTATAGGTGTTTTTTGTTATGTAATGATATTCAGTTGAAGAGGTCATTGAAAGTCGCCCTAATAATCAACACAAAATCGGCGCTAAATCACTAGTTTAATGAATCCATATTTCCGATTTCAGTTGATTCGTGACAATCCGACAACCATCCAATCTGATTCATGGATATCTACTGTCGAATTTTCTACACAATTAAACTCCATTTATCATGAAATAATTTAAGTTGGAAGATGAAATAATTGGTTTCCAACTAAATGATCTAAAAACAAATACTTCATCGAGAAGCATAAAATGTCCTGCGTTGAATGTGAGGTACAATTCGTAAATATACACTAATTAGAATTCCCACTTAACCCATGACTTTTTCACGGTATCTGGCGCTTTAACCCGGCCGGTAGACACGATGAGTCTACCTATGGGGGTTGGAAAACCCAGGTCGCAAACTAATAGTGCACATGAGCTCCAAGATCCTGAAGGAACAATTGGCGTATGAACCTATCATTGGTCGCTGACTACCATGGGACTGCATCTCCTGACGATGCTCCACTGGCTTGCGAATCAGACCTTCAGGTCAAAGGTCCTGGGAGTGGCCTCCTAAGAAAAAACCACCTGCTTCGGTCACACTATATGTTAATTTATGTTAAAGATAACCAACAAGTTAACCCCACAAATCTTCACATCAAACAACTTTGAAATCCAATTCCTATTTAACAGCATTCAAAATTAAGAACTAACAATATTAATGATGATATTCACAATAGACATATAATACAATTTTACTTACTAATGATCCTAGAATAGAACCACCAATCCAACTGGAATAACGACGTTCAGCTGTTGTACTAGGAAAGTTGACTTTTAATCTCATACTCTAGATTAAGTAATAATCATATTGTTATTCTATAAAGAAATACAAACATACCGGTGGTGTTTTAATATTCAAATCTCGTTGTAATCTATCTGTAAATCCAGTAATTAAACTGTTACCACCAACAACTATGACATTACTATATAAACTCTAAAAAATGAAAATATAAAGGGGAAAAAACAAAAACGATTCATCAATATAGATGTGAATAATCAACTTTAAAATAGATAGAGTCTATGTGAAAACCAGTATGATACTATGAAGTTGATTAAACTGAGTATGTACTGGACTCAGTCAGTCAGTCAGTAACAACGTAGAACTTCGTACGTACGTACGTACATCAGTACGGGTTGTCATACCACATTAGCACAAAGATGCAGTTGTCGATTCAAATCCCATAGTGGTAAAAGTAGTAAGAATATAAGCATTAATGTGAAAGATAAGGGTTTGAAGATGTTTTTGAAGGAGTATAATCCAGTGAAATAATTTTGAAAAAAGAAAAAAAAGATAGAGACATGAAGAATTCAGAAGATTAGGATTTGACAGAACACAAAGAGTGGAATGAGATTCGAACTTTCTACAATATACTTTTACTTACTAGATGGAAGTTGTATTTTAATCATTAAACTATTTTCTGATTCCTTTAAACACAATATAAAGTTGTTATTATGTTCATTTATATTCCATAGTAAATTATAAACAAAGTATTTAATACTTTATCCTTTCTTTTTTGATGGGGTTTTGTCCTCTGAGCTGGATGGTGTGGTCGTGGAGCTCTCATCGTCCTTCTGAACGACATCATCAGCACAAACTCTATCCCTCTGTTCTACTAGAAATATATCAATAAAATAATATGTGAAGGTTGTGGAGATTGTTGAATGTAAATAAGATTATAAATCGATCCAGCTTAGACAATTATTGAAAACCTGGAAATTCTAGACAGCTGTTTCGTCCTAATGTGGAACTCTTCAGGAGTGTACATCCACAAAGGTGAAGTCCAAAATTGAACACAGGATCTTCGGTCTCACATGCTAATAATAAATCTATGGATGATGTTCAAATCTAACTCCGATGAATCTGCGATATTGCACGACCCATAATATGATCCACCTAATAAATACAGAAAGTGAATTACTACGACTTCCCATATTTTTTGGCAAGAATGACGTTGTCCATCATGACTCCATCATGAATCTTCATCGACTAAGACGGTTAGGCCACGTGTTACGTATACCTGAACACCGATTACCACGACATGCAATTTCGACTAGCGTTGGGGATAGTTGGACGAAATCTAGGGGAGACCAAACCAAAACGTGGCATCAGTGCTTGAAGTCACTAACTTCTAGTCTGAGCCATGTTTTTAGATGCAGACTACTTGGTTGAGGCTCGCGTGACTATCGTAATAAATGGTTGGAGACTCTAGGTGACATGGCTCAGAATCGATCACAATGACGTAGGTGTATACACTCTTTGTCTTCCCTTAAACCTTGAGATTAAAATTGCTTCATATCTGTCTTTCTTCCTGCACTATATCCTTATATACAACCTATCTTTTATATATTACTACCACTAAATTAACCACTTCTATGAATTCGGTGTTCGTCTTGTTGTGCTAACGAGGTATGTCAACTTGGATCGATGCATAAGACCAAATAATGAAAATTAAGCATTACGTCTCAGAAATACAATTCGTTTAGTGTGAATTAAATTTAGCATAGTGGCATGAACAATGAGTAAATGAACAATAAGTACTACTAGATGTATAAGAACTAATTGAAATATGATTGATTTGTTGAAAACAATGGCATATCAGTTATAATAGTATACGAAATATAGAAATATTACCACGTAGTTCAGACTACTTACTATTACATATACGCCGCACAAATCTCATTTCATTTGTGTAGACAAATCCAAAGCTCTTAACTTAAACATTGCTGAAATTTTCACTGAACCTTCGTACGTTTATGATGATTAGGTGAACGATTCCGAAACATGTGACTCAACGTCTCCAACCATTGGTCAAGGTTATCGCGAGGATCCCAACCACGTGGTCTCCATTTATTAACACGCTTTATGAACTAATAAAATATCTTGGTTTGTCCCCTTTCCTTAGCTTTTTTCCAGTCCACTCTTACCCTATCACTTAGTTATTCCATGAAGAGTGAGCAACAGATTCTTCCAAGAAATTAATGAACAAATCCTGAGGCTTACACTAGTCTTCCACTATCAAAGTCCAGGCTTTGAAGCCATAAAATAACACAGAGCGAATTGCTTTTCAGAAGTACACAATCTCATTATTTGGCAGACGTAAATCCTGACTACGCCATAAATAATATAAATTAGTAAAATATCAACTATCGAACAGCCAAAGTTTCACCTGATATCAGTAGTACACCAAAACTTATGAGACTTCCGAAATAAGTGAAATGGTCTGCTCCCTCAACTACTTCATTTCAAGTTATTAGTTTAGGTGTTGACATGTATATCGGTCTTATGGTAATATCTTGTGTTTTGATGGGGAAGAATTCATCCCAAACATGATTGCAATGTTTCTACAAGAGATTATAAGACTGGATTTTGTCAGTGTCCTCATTAAACAAGGATTTATAAACTGAGTATTTCAAGTTAATAAATCAATCTGAATCGAAACTGCCTGAAAATTAGTCTCAGTGTGTAACCCGATTTATTAATTCTTGATCTTCTCCCAGCTTCCATAAATTCATTGGTTCCTTTAAAACCAAATACCCTATGTTTAATTTATTTGATTAATCACAAAAAGTAAGATTAATACTTCAATACATTTTTTGCTTATCTTACTAATTCCATCTCCCTGTATATAGGAATTGAATTGAACCACTTTGAGCCATGGTAGTGAAACATGGCCGGTAAGAGTAGAGGATATTCGTAGGTTACTAGTATTCGATCATAGGTGTCTTCGAAGCATTGCTCGTATATCCTGGGATCACCGAGTAAGTAATGCAGTTGTTAGGAAACGGATACTAGGTAAGGATGGCAAATCGATTGATGAAATAGTGAAACTTCTTCAGTTAAGATGGCTGGGACACGTGTTACGTATGCCCAACCACTGACTGCCCCGACGTGCAATGTTTTATGGTGTAGGATTAGGTCGGAAGAAAGCTAGGGTCGGCCAGACCAAAACGTGGCACAAATCCATGAAGTCACTGACGATTGGACTGAGCCATGTTGGTAGGTGTAGACTACCTGGTTGAGATTCACGAGATGATAGCAATCGATGGTTAGAGACCTTGAATGACATGGCTTAAAATCGTTTGCAATGGCGAAGGTGCATCCACTCTTTGTGTTTTACCGAATTCTAATCTTCTGAATTCTTCATGTCCGTATCCTTTTTCTCTTTCCAAATTTATTTGACTCTATTACACTCCTTCAATAACATCTTCAAACCCTAATCTTTCACATTGATGCTTATACTCTTACTACTTCTACCTCTATGGGATTTGAATCGACAACTGCATCTTTGTGGTAATGTGGTATGGCAACTCGAACTGATGTACGTACGAAGTTCTACGTTGTGACTGACTGACTGACTGAGCCATACGTTAATGTTGACTGGTTATTAATACATTAATTATAACAAAACAGTAAAAAAAAATACTTAAAACAAATTATTACACTTACAGGTCGAATGTCAATATCACATAAACTAATGCTACTAGCCACTATGTGACTCATTGATAACATTGAACTCCCGCCAGCTTCCTACATGAGTGAAACAAAAAAGTAATAATAATCTCTCAAAACAATAAATGAATAGATTATGTCTAGAAATTAAATACAGAGTACGTGTTTCACCTTAATTAGGATGTATATACCTGCCATTCAGTGTCCAACACACTGACGTTCGGATACAGTATCAATCGCTTTAAACAGGTGTTATCTAGTAGTTAGGGGTTTCGGTTTTCTTGTAATCGATGTTCAAGACTAAATCTTATTAAAGGCCTCTTTGAATATATATATATATATATTACGATATTGTCTGTGTTTTTGAGTTGCATATAGTTACGCATTATGGATAATAGTATTGATAATACCATGAATAACATGCGCATTAGACAGATTATTAGCAATCCGGACTTAGTAGCTTAGTAAGAGTAATATGTAGTGGGTTCTATTCCAAATAATGAACACTGACAACATTGGAATAAAGGTATATCCAGCTGAAGAGCTTCAGATACGACAAAATCTGTCTTAGATTTCAGTGCTAGCTACAATTAGAAAATATCATGAACTTGTAACAGTAGACAAATGTATTAGCTCAAGTAAACTGTTGGGGAGTTCAGGGAATCTTTTTATCCAATCGGCAATGAATAGAAGCTTCTCATTAATATTTATAAAAAGAAGGAGCACGCGTCACGTTTTTTATTTGATAATTAGTGTCACTATATTCAGTATGTTGCCAGGTTTTGGAAGACCAAGGTCACATGCAACTTAATTAACACCCTCGATTTCCTGCATATAAGCTAACAATGGAGTAAAGCCTTTACACATATTTTTCGCCTTTTCTCTATTCTTTGAATCGAAGTGTAAAAGTAGTCTAGGGTTATAGGAAGCGGCTAGGAAGGTAGTAACAAGTGTTGCGCCAGAAACTATATGCTAAAACAGATTGATGATAAGCAAATCCTGAATACCAATAATAGGACAATACAAACGCTTTAGGTAACACTGCTATAAATAATATTTCTTAATAACATAAAATCTTATAAACTCAAAGAAAATATCCATAAACTTACTAACAATATAGATGGATCAAATAAAGCCTCAGGGATTTGAAAACGTTCATGACCCAGTTCAAAATTGAATCCATTCGGAAACTCATAACCAACCATTGGAAAAGTGTCTGCTTGGCTAAAAGACGAGTATTTTTAAAAAAAGAGGTAAAATTCGTATAGTGTAGCGTTACAAATACAAACAATTACATATAAGTGTAGGGAGATTTGTGGAAAGTGTAGAATCTCTATGCTTTAAATCATGAACTGATAATAGCTAGACCAACACTGAAAATCAAAAAGCATAGGACGGCTACTTTGCCTTAGTATGGGACTCCTCAGTAGTGCGCATCTACGACGTCATATCAGAGTATCGAACCCTGGATCTTGAGTCTCGTATGGACTAAACAGCCGTCTAGTGCTTTCAGCTTTTGGAATATGGGAATTATACATGACTTGTAATAGATCAATTCAGTATATGACTTTTATATAAATACCAGTTCTCTATTCTATGGTCTATCTGATTGGAAGGAGACTAGGGATGACCAAATTCAAATGTGACAGTTTATGAACTCATTGACCCTTGAACTTATCCATGTTAATAGCTATTTTCAGACTACCTACCTGAATGTGATCTTCATTATTAGTGTAACTAATAGTTGGAGATGTGTGGATGACATGACTTGAAAATGATCACTTTTTGTCTTCTCCCCTAGATCCTGAGTTTTAAAATTAATTTGTACTTTTGATTCGATGAATTTATTATATTCTCCATGTTTATTCAATGTTACTGTAAATACTATTACTACGTTAGCATTCATCTTGATGATTTCATCTCCCTAGAGATTACAAATCCATTTGATTATACAAATCTTGTTCTTTTACATTTTTTCTTCGAAACTCAGGTTTAGTCATTTATTTACTTATATTTATTTGAACACATAAACATTGGTACAAAGGGGCACAGATCCACAAGGCAGTGGAGCAACGTAAGGAGATGCAACCCGATGGTAGCCGGTGGCCAATAATTGGTTCACATACCATTTGTTCACTCAGGATCCTGGTGTAGTGAACAGAACACTGGTTGAGGACAATCGAATGTATTTTAGCAAAAATTACAGACTATCTCAGTAAATTCTGACAACCATACAATGAACAGTCAATTTGCAAATTAGCAACCAATAGTCCCGAACTTCACTGTTTCTTCTCTAATTCCATTGTTCGTCCATTTTCCTTCCGATCGCGCTTCGTTTCAGTTCTTTTCTTATCGGTCTTCTGCGAAAATACATTCTATGTCTGACCAACACCATATACTACTTATATGGATATAAGTAGACCACACCACACTGGAACCCATGTGCACCACCGGTTTGGAATCAAGGTTTTCTAACTCCCCTAGGTGGATCCTCCGTACCCATCAACCCGGTTAAAGCGTCGGATATTCGCTTTTCGTCATCTCAATTTCGTAATCAACACCCCTGTGGTGAGAAGGCAGTGAGTAGGACTTCCGTGACAGAGGCTATATATGCGAGGCCATGTGAGAGCATTTGGAGAGAGAGAGCGGACTCTCCTCACCCTCGGCCGTACCAGGGCAATGTAAAGCTTACAAAAATGTACATTAGCGAAAAAGTTACATATCAAATAGTTAAAATCAACTAGATGCCCTGGTACGGCCGAGAGTGAGGAGAGTCCGCTTTCTCTCTCCAAACGCTCTCACATGACCACGCATATATAGCCTCTGTCACGGAAGTCCTACTCACTGCCTTCTCACCACATGGGTGTTGTTTACGAAATTGGATACTGCGAGTCCACCTAGGGGAGTTGAAAAACCCTCATTCCAAACCAATGGTGCACATGAGTTCCACGATCCTGAGGAAACAATTGGCGTATGAACCAATCCTTGGTCACCAGCTACCATGGGACTGCATCTCCTCACGATGCTCTACTGCCTTGTGGATCAGACCTTTAGGTCGAAGGCTCGGGGTGTGGCCCCCTAAGAAAACCACCTGTTTCAGTCTGGGTACCTGGGCAGTATCTCAGCCCTCACACAAATCATATGAGATTAGTGCGGCGCATATGTATCTGGTGCTTCCTTGTACCAATATTTATGTGTATAGATAATAATAAATAAGATTACTATCAAAAAAGATTTGAATAGTTGTATTAGTTCAAGAAGAAGGAATGAAAAGGTATGTATGTATGAAGGAATACTGGAACTTAACATCCCAGAGATAATGATAACGATGAAAAGTGAATACATTTGCATCGTTTTAACAAATTCTGATGTATGGTCACCCAACGTTTCCCAACTAGGCAGGGTGAAGGATTATTATTTAGATTGGTATCCTATAATTAGTAGACACTTGTATTATTGCATCTTTATATTTTTTACTTCCAGGTTTTAGTTTGACCTATAAATTGCAGGTCATGTTATACTGTTTTAGAATTAACAATGAGTAACTATTTCTTGAATAGGTTTTTTGTATGACTTATGTACATATTATGCTTTCCTAATTGTATCAATATTTCAAGTTGAATTTGAAATAATAATTGGATTGAGTACAACAGAAAACTGATCTGCTTTCCATTTTCATCTCCTGATGGCCTACTCGGTTAGGAGCTCAGACCAGTCGGTCAGTCAAAATTAACGCAGAACCCAGCACAGTCAGTCAGTCAGTCAGTCACAACGTAGAACTTCGTACTTACGTACATCAGTTCGAGTTGCCATACCACATTAGCACAGAGATGCAGTTGTCGGTTCAAATCCCATAGTGGTAGAAGTAGTAGGAGTATAATCAGAAATCCAAAAGATTAGGGTTTGAAGAAATTATTGAAGGAGTATAGTACAGTGAAATAAATTTGGAAAGAGAAAAAGATATAGGTTTGAAAAATTCAGAAGATTAGAACTTGCTAGAACACAAAGAGTGGATGCACCTTCGCCATTGCAAACCCAGCACATGTGTACATAGGTTCCAGTTGACATACCTCATAACCACAAAAGTGATGAAATTATCAAACAAAAAATCTCAAAACAGTAGAGGTAGTAACAGCATTAGTGCAAAGAAAGATTATGCATCGAAAATGCTACTTCAGAAGGAAATATAAATTAGTGAAATAGTAGAAAAAGTTATGAAACTTCGAATATAAATAAATAAAAGGAGTGAATACACCTGCTCCATCGTGAACAATTCTGAACGATATGAATCAAAGTATCTAACCATTGGTTACGATAATCATGTAAACTGAAACAATGTAGTCTGCACATATCCATCTATATGTCTCAGTCTAACAGTTAGTGTTTTCATGGAATGGTGTCATATCTTGGTTTTTCCGTCTCTAACATTCTTTCAACCTACTTCTACATCAGATAACATCATGTGTCGTTGTAGGTGGTGGATTGATTGGCACACAAAATACATGACAGCTTTAAAAAAAATCAGTTCAAAAATTAAGGTTACAAATCGAACCCAATTTTGTAAGATCTAATAGAATAACCAAGAATATAAAACTCAGTTATTCTTATTGTCATAACTACTAACCTTTGATCATAACGATCTTCAGAAACTTGTAAAACTGATGCCACAAAATCTTGTATTTGACACTGAAAAATGTTAGAAAAAAGAAAGAAACAATTCACAAATGAATATGTTTGTTGATTTTTTGAAGGAAATTTACAAAAGAAAAAATTGCAGATTATTTTTTGCAGCTAATGTATTATATGTGTGGTAGCAACTTATTAACAATCAGTATGTAATGTTAAAATGTGATAAAGGGTACAATTTTTAATTACAGTTTCGCCAAGAAAACTACTGTGTTTGGGTAATTACTTATCGGCCCCCGAATGCCCTGGTACGGCCGAGAATGGGGAGAGTCCGCTCTCTCTCTCCAAACGCTCTCACATGACCACGCATATATAGCCTCTGTCACGGAAGTCCTACTCACTGCCTTCTCACCACATGGGTGTTGTTTACGAAATTGAGAAAACAAAAAGCGAATGTCCGGTAGCGGCTTTAACCGGGTTGATGGACACGAAAAGTCCACCTAGGGGAGTTGAAAAACCCTCATTCCAAACCAATGATGCACATGAGTTCCACGATCCTGAGGAAACAATTGGCGTATGAACCAATCCTTAGTCACCAGCTACCATGGGACTGCATCTCCTCACGATGCTCTAATGCCTTGTGGATCAGACCTTTAGGTCGAAGGCTCGGGGTGTGGCCCCCTAAGAAAACCACCTGTTTCAGTCTGGGTACCTGGGCAGTATCTCAGCCCTCACACAAATCATATGAGATTAGTGCTGCGGATAAATATCTGGTGCCCCTTTGTACCAATATTTATGTGTTTAAATAAATAAATAAATTACTCATTGTTGTTGCAAACATATTGAAACTTTGTGCTTAATACTCGATTAACTTTGAGATGAATTGTTATACGACGATGTAAGAGTTAAATTTAACTGTTGGATCACGATTTCATCCGTACTTTAGAACGATCTATGAAATCTATGTATTCTCCAATCAATTATGCTTTATCGTTTGATTTTGTTGGTACTAATTATCGTGCATACATACTCGTTACCTTATTAAGTAAAATGATCCTATTTTGCCGGGCAGCCTCCTTGTTTTCTGATATCAGTTCACTTGGGGGTTGATGTCAGAAATGTGGTCTTGTGAGCAGTCATCACTCAAAACATATTGTATTACTGAATATTACCCATAGATCGGTATGGCATTTACCAATTTAACAACATCCAAATGCCTCCTCATTATAAATCTTGAGATCTTAATTCACAAAACGACTTTTATTACTGAATTTTTAATCCCACATAGAGCTAACCTTAACCTAGGTTGATAATAAGAAACAGAGATGATATTATATAAACATAGAGAGACTGAATGTCCTAGATTTGATTCCCGCATGTAGGACAGTGGATGTGCACTGCTGAGAAGTCCCATACTTGGACGAAGCGGCTGTCCAGTGCTTCCATGTTCTTAATGGTGGTCTAGCTTAGATTAGCTCATGATTCTAATGAAATTCAACTATCTACACAGCCTCATTACTTACTTACTTACTCACTCACTCCCGTTACCCCTCGTTGAGGACCAATATTCTCCATCCAATTATGCCCTAAGGAATCCTTTCCAGTCGTTTCCAACTGTATAAAGCGAACTATGTAGAGCAGGTTATCATAATCATAAGCCTAAATGGTCTTGGATTATTGTTAATTTGGTTTTTTATTCTCTGAATAAGTGGCTTACATTGAGTCACGAAACGTCAGAAAATCTAAATTTTCTACTCATTGGGATATTACAAATATATTATTTATTTATTTATTAGTTTATTGAATTACATTTAACTTCCAATGAGGCACAGACTTCTTTGACAACCTTTAAGAAAAAAGTATGGCTCAAAATACATGTAACTTAACAGTAATGAACGCATTTGTCTATTGGGCTATGATGATCTCCCCAACTTGTGCAAGAATATGCAATCCAAAGTGAACTTCGCCAGAGAGAGGTATTTGGATCTGTGGTTCATCGGTTGATTATTAAGTGCATAAACTAATGGGTCACATCATAAAAACTGACTATCATTTATGTTATAAGCTGATTTTTAAATAAGTTGATTTGTAAATACATGGAAAAAGTTCACTTTTGTCATATAGATGGGTTACTTACTTTTAACATATAATTCTCATATGATGTGGAAACGGGTGGTAAATTTGTTCGTTCTTTCCATTTTGCAGGTTCACGTTCATTTACAGGCTCCTAAATAATGTTAATCAATTATAAAAATATTTACAGCAATCCCATTAAATTCTGTGAATTATTTGCTGTTGAACAATGATAATAATAATGCAGCTTGATAACAAATCATAGCTATCTGAGTAAAAGTTTTTATGGAGCGTAGTGACTTAATGATCAACTATCAGACCACACACCTCACTTCATCTACATTAAAGTTTATGTAGCCTAGTAGTATTACTAGCCTAAAGACAAATAAAATGCAAGACTCAGAGCTGAGTAAATAAACGTGTACTTCGTTGAAATGAGTTACACCATGTTGTAAGATTTGATGAAATCATTTGTACGTTAACTAAAGTGGAAATAAAGTTTCCAATTTTTAAGCATCAAATTTATACAACTCACCTAGTCAAATCTTTAACAAAAAACTAAGACCGTTTCTTACATAGTTTGTCTAACCTTTCGGTCACTAAGTTCCGTATTTGAACCCCCCCATCCTCTGACTATTTTGTCTTGGGAAACCGGATAGTAGTGCTTAGTACTCTATAAAGATACTAGTGTAAATGCTTTGTACAACAGCTTTGGGTTTTATATGCAAGTACAGTTGTTTTAATTTAAGAGTATTAAAAGGTCAAAGCAAAACAAAGTGTATAAGAAAAATTAAGCTTGGTGGTAGTTACTACTGATCTGATTCGATATCAACAAACTCAAATTGATAGCAACTAAATATAGTGAAGAAAAATATGTATAATCAGTGGATCGTGTGTGATAATTCAGTCTTGTTGAATAGCTATTAATTACGGTTTGAAATAAATCGAACAACATAGTAAACCTTGGGAACTACAGTAAAATGTAGGATCATGATCTTTGGGTTAACAAGAGTGAAACTCAATTACCAAACTACATACATATTCAGAGTTGGGTAGCAATGTATGAGGGCTAGTGACACTAACCAGATGCCCAAACCGAGCAGGATTCGAACCATAAACTCGAGAATTAAAATAGTAGTGATTTAACGACTAACTGACTGTCCAACAGGACAGAACTTATAGTGACAAAGTATCTGTAAATAGACGACGACTTAGATGAAATTAATTTTAAATCATAACTACCTATCTGCTATTTTGGTATTTTCCCAATACATTTTTATGTTCACTTTTTAATACCACTGCTATTAACATCTTGATTGATTTTGTCACTCACTTTTTTAATCTACCTTCTCTACTTAAATGTAAAACGGAATAACGGATCGATGGACATTTGTATCAGGTCCTAAGTTATTTATGACTGACTGATTCAAACTTTAAAGTCTACTACATGAATGTCGCCGGAGAACAAATAGCTTTTACATGTAGAATCCTACTATGAGTATCAAAAATGTAAATGAAACGGCATAAAAGTAAAAGTATGGGTTTTCAACCTTGAGTTGGGCTTGTATCAAACTTCAGGATTACCCATAACAAAATAAGTGGAGTGTAATTTAAACCAGAGAACTAATAGATGCAAAATAAATGCTAGAAGTGTGTGGCAATCTAGACCGATGAATGTATGTGCCGTATTCCATGTTTCTTATGACCAATTGACTATTTGAATGATAGAACAAATAAATAAATAGAACCGCCGAGTTACATCTCACAGGTGAAAAACAAAAATCTTCCGAAACGTATATGATTTAATACGGATAAACGAGTAACAGTGAGCATCTACGACTCTAAAGTACTTACTTTAAACAACTAGTGAATTAAACTGGCACCTCACATTTAAAAGTTCAAATATTTCCTAAGACATGTATTCCACTGATGTATTATATAATTTGGTCGGGTTGGAAATAAGAGGTTATCTTTGATCTAAATAAATAACACCATTATGAACCGGTCTTTTGACGACAGACAATAATATTACAACTGTCCTACAATATATAATACCAGGTCAAATCCCTTGACAAAATAAAATTACAAGAATTTACCTATTTAGAGATGTGCTGTCATGAACATCAGACATCAGGGTGATAACAATTGCAAAAATCTACCAGACGTAAATCCTCAATCCCTATTCCGACTTCGAAATCACAATACACTGATCTAAAAAATATAACTGAATGAATCCTGTTGCAGTGGATAATGCAGTACCTTGATTTGGATAAATAATAGTACCAGTAGTCTAACTGAACGGTTATAAGATAGTACGGATACGATTCGAACTGAAGAACTGTACATACATTGGAACCCAATAATAATTTACATGACTAATATGTGCAGGTTCCAAGATCCTTGGCTTAGCGAGATAAACCTAAGGAAATATTTTTAACTGCAAGCAATGACTTGACCATACTCTGTAAGATAAAAATGACTATATTTCAAATATTTTTTACCAAACAGTATCTGGTCAACTAAATGGATAGGGTAAGAAAATCATTAAGTCGGAAACAACACCCCTGTCAAGTTTTAAATGACCGATTTTCTAAAGAGAAAAATGAGTATCCGAAGTCATTAGAAAATAATTAATATGCATTATATTTCTCTCTTTAAACGGGAATTATAAGCAAGAACACACATTTACATGATGTGTATCATCAGAGGCTATGAAAACTAAACTACGTATTCAAACGTAAAAATAAAATGTACACTCTGATCCCAGGATTTTGGAATTGCCACAGAATCTAAAGTGTACAATAAACTATAAATTTACCCATAGCGTAAATATAAATACTAGCATACCTTAGATGCAACACGATAATAAGGAACAACCTCTATTTTAAGCTCATCCAGAATTAACTTTTGTGCCTGCTGGACAATAAAATCTCCAGCCAAAGGAGAACGTATGACCTCTTGAGTTAGAACTAAACCATCGTACACGGGGACGGCTGATGTGTGAATAGCACCACAATCCAAAACCAAACCAGTGTGTCTGCCATTTGCAAAACAAGTAAGTGCAGCATTCTTGGCTATATAAAATGCTGGAACCTAGATAATAATTCATTCGAAACGAAATAAACACACTTTGAACTTCTCGAACAAAATCTCAGCAATTTTCTCTCGTTTTGACTTTGTATTCCATGAAGGTTCCGAAAAAAGTACCGGGTGATGACTAGCCTCTTCGGGTGTAAGGTATCGTAGCATGTGACTCATCACATCTTCAAAGGCATCCCAATCATCAACTTTACGAAAGTAAGATAAGTAGAATCTTACTTAATCCATCTTTAAGAAATGATTGGAGGTCAGTTCCTTTACGAGGGACCAATATATTTTGCCCAACGACTCTTTTCGCCGGTAGACCTTCCTCATTTCCAATAATTCCAAGAGTAGATGGAATATCAATCTTAACTGATAATTATGAGTTACAAATATCAACCTTCGGGTTATCTTCGCCAGCAAAACCACCTCGAAGAGAATATGATCCAAAATCAAAAACTAGTGCCCCGACCTCATCTATGGAAATACTAAAGACAAACTGGTAGTCCGAACAAACCACTCATTGTACACTCCCCTAACCTTCCAGTGCGCTTGCGCTAAGCAATGACCTCAATGTTTCAATTATATCACAGTAGCGTGTTAAAACAAAATAATTAAAGCCAGTTTTCTTCTGTTATCACTAAAAAGCGAATACATTTTTGTACAAAAATTTGGTTTAAGAACAATTATATTGACAACACAAAAATACAGTTTAGCAATGTAAGTAATAATTTCTGATCTCGGTCCATTGTTGCAGTATCAGTTTGGAAAAGACAGGAGGCTTGATGGCCTGTGTTAGTCCTGGCAATGACGGTCTCTCAGTTGATCCAACTTTGTTCTGTATGAGTCCACGGATGGAGCCTCAACCACGTACTGAGGTAATGAATTCCACTCGTTGATGATTCGACGGGAAAGTCGATAGTCAGTTGACAAGTAATTCGTCCTGTCCTCATGTCCTCATAAATTTTCTATTCTGGAAGACAAGAAAAATGAGGGCATATCAGGTGATTCAAATACGAATAGCTTTATATTTGAAAGGACTTATATACTTTGAGCTTTTTCATTGTACTTCGACTAATGTTATAATTTGGAAAAATTTCAACAACAATAGGCAGTTTCATACAAGTCATCTGAACGACTTCGGCTACGAATTTTTGTAATAATTATTGTTTAGCTCTATACCAATCTAACCAATAACGAACATGAATTCACATAACATCCCACATCATAATGAGCATAGTAAATGGTTTAATAATGACTGTACATGGCTTTCAAAAATAACAAGCGGTCTATGCAAAGCTTATTCATAATTGATGGTGTTAGTCGAAGAGTAAGGAATTCAAAAACTTCAGTCTCTTTACTGGTATTTAACAAATGTCGTGAATTGGTTCTCTGGATGTCAAAAGTAGAGAGACCATGTCATGTGGAACTTATCTGATCAGTGAACTGAGAAACTCAGGAAGAGAAGCTCTAGCAGTTTTATCAACTTCAAAGAAACCTTACCAGTGGGCAGGTATCTTTAGACGGTTCTTTCATCCTAACTATTTTTATTATCATTCGGTTGACCGACATTTGCGAATTTTCTAAGATAAAAAACACAACCCTCTTAATAAAAGCACGGGCACTATATTGAGAAAGGTTGGCTTTAAATTCTTAATTAACCTTTATTATAAAGATGGTCAGAGGACCACAAAGCTAATGTTGATCTATGATAGTTTCTTCATCATCCCGAACCTAGGAAACCGTCAAAATTCGCCATTTTCGGAACAAATGTTTGACCGGCGACCGGAAATAAAAGTTGGTAACGGTGAATTCAAGAGTCCTAGACACGATTAACATTTACAAGAAAAGGCATAAAAGTTCGAAAAAGATTACCAGTATAGCATAACATGACTCCTCGATGGGATTTTCGAACTTTTCACTTTGTCACAGGTATTTAAAGAGTGAGTTGGCAGTTCGGTTTTCGCTACGAGTGTTTTCTTATTTTGCCATTAGTTTAATTTACATTCCACAAGGTCGTGTGCATAGTGTAGTTACAAATTTTAAAGGGGCGAAATGTGCAACTAAAAATGCACAAATTTATGAACAAAGTAAGAATCGAAGTATCTTTTTCTCTTTTCAAAAAGGTGATCTATATTAAGTATTCTGTCATACGTTCATCAGTCGATTTCACTAGCTGAAATTTGTATATTCTGTAAAACGAACACTAATGTTAGTATCTGTCCAACGGTAAATCTTTTGAACCCATCCCAGTACCTAATGGGTTGGGAAAAGTTGCTTCAGTTGCTGGCTCATTTGATACATGAATTTCATCCCAGAAATTCGACAGTAGTCCTAATTCAGCATGACATATTCTTAGCTATCTCTGCGTACTCTACTCAAGCTATGTAAAAGAACAGCAACCATACAATTAATCCATGCACTAATAGCATCGTGGAAGGATCGCTTTGGCATCCATATAAGCTTTCTTACCAAATTTGGTATATTAGTTCCTGCAATTAAACGATCACACAGCTGTATATGAAGTTGATCACCACAATTACACTTGATAGCTCCTTTCTCCAATTCGAGGACAAACCCTATTACCTTCTGAATGTCCTGACGAATCATCATGTAAAATTTAGATCTTTCACGGCATTCAAAATCCGTACACTTTGCATGATTTTGTAGTAGTTCTTAGAGAGTTAGATAGAAGCTGAAATAGTTTTATCTAAAAATGACAAATTTTGTACTAAATTGTTCTTCTGATGAATGTAGGGTAATGAGCAACAATTTTATCACCCCAAACGATTCTTCTGATAGTGTCTCAGATTTGAGACCCTTCCATTTAATCTTCTAAAGCTTGAGAATTTGAATGTTTATCCAACTGTTCAAAATCGCAAGCCCCACCAGGACACCAATATGATAATTAGAATTGTTAAAATTAATGTGCTTCCTAATAATCCCCGAAATAGCTCGACTAAAGATAGGTATTGTAGAATTATGCTCCACTTCGTTATTAGTACAGCTCTAACAATAGACCTAAATTGTAGATTTGTCATGATGTGGTTAACTAATCTATAACGTGTTAGTCACATCATTGTCTATACAGACTCGTCTTATCGTAACAATTAACAATATGTCTGAAGTTTGTAAAAAACACATTTAGGCTAAGGATAGAATAATGTATTTAATATTCGTAAAGACAAGTTACACAAAATGACCACGTCCGAGAGGCTGAGCTATGCCACCTGATTTATTGAATTAATCCAGTCACATCACTACACACTATCATGGGATATTTCTGGTCACTATTTGCGTCATAGGTGAGCCACAATAAGTGTTCCAGAGCATCCACAATAGTGTTCAAAATAATACGAGTTTCGATGAGATTGCAGTTGCTAAGTTTGCTATATTTAAGAGAGTATAAGTTGACCATTTGATTCACGGAATCCAAGGTCAGAATCACACCACACGATAACTACTCAGCACCATATCCAACCTAATGTCCTCAATGACTCTTATCAAAAACTTTATTATTTGACTTTGGTAAAGATTTAGCATCACCATTACATCTTTTTGTTGTAAGATGCCGCCTCGTCGGTAATGAGGTCTTGGTTGACTGGCCTCGAGGTCACATCACGGAGCGATTGCCTGTTCCTACTCTTTGACTGTCTGTCAACAATGTCTGTTGGTTGACTGGAGAGCCATCATGTTGGAAATAGTCTGGCTGATTTTCAAGCACTTGAAAATCGTACTTCGTAACCTATTTTTGTTGAATAAAGCGTTATGTTGTACCAGATAAGCGTTCAACTATGTACAAGGTGAGCAGCATGGTACTGAATAAATTGCGTATGAAATCTGTGTTTTCATATAATCTTTGACCGTGAGTAATTCAGAGGAGATTTGTACCCTTCGAAGACGGACGCAGTTGTTTGTTTTCATTGAACAAACCCTGATTGTGTTGCATTGTTTTATACGTCCGGATCAAAAGTTTGAATTTTAGGAGATACTGTTAGAATTGATGATGGGCTACAGATTATCCGCACGCTATTGCTTGGACAGATCCATGTGGTGAATTTCGATTGACTAACGCTGACTATCCTTGAAATTGACGACGCTCAGAATTTTTAAATTCACTGATCAGTATGTAGAGTAACATGGCGTTTGACTTCACCAATAATTTGACCGAAGTTCAATTATATTTCACTGATCACCCATGGTTGTATCTGAATCGTCTTTCTTTAAATAGATAATACCATCTGCAATAGCCTATGATTCTTGGTTCTCTATCTCAAGACCTTTAACATGTGTTATGAAATTTTTTATTCTATTAAAACGAAGGCTAAGAGACTAAACCTTCGTATTAATGGCGTGGTCGAATTATGCATTAAGTAGCAGTATGCGTACTATCACTAAAAATGTTTTTAGGTCCTAAGAATTAGATGAGAAATTTTTTAATACTCATCCAAATATCTATACCCCTCGTCATTACAAAGAACCTGGATCATGGAAATGAGTCAAGAAACTACTAGCTGGCATAAAAGTCAGTGAATTCCATGAAGATACGCGGGATAAATAGAAAAGTTTTTCCGTGATACAGAAAAAGGTGGAGTGAATTAATTCCAACCTTTATAACAAATATGATGTATCATATCTAGTATGATCTTCTTCTATACACTTCAGAAAAGTACACGAAAGAGGACAGAAGATGGTTTAAAGACCACGTGCAACTTGCTACTCAGTTGACTATCGATTTCCATAATCAAGAACTAGTATTCGAATCTTTAGCTAAACACTCATCAACTGCCTCTCCTGCAGGAGCATTGTTGAAATCTCTCTTATTACGAAATAACTACATTAATTGTATAGTATTTTTCGGACACTTCATTCAACTAGTTCTCGAAAAAAACACGATCGGTCAAGAATATGAACAATTTTCAAATAAAAAAGGCTTGAGGATACGACTGGTATTCTAGTTTTACATCTAGCGGCCAGTAGTACCTTCTATATTCGAAACCTTCTTACGCCCGATAGAAGTCAGAAGTCAGACGAGAAGAGGTAGGAAAGATATATTTGATACGTTCCCAATATATCGAGATGCGTTTGTTTTTAGCTATCTAGTGAAACGTAGGAGCTGTGTCCCACGCCGAGTCGAAACGTGGTCTTATACGGATGCATGACCGAAAGCTTTTAGTTAAAAAAGTCCACTTAAACAATGTGGTCAGCATCCAATGTCGAACACTTAGAAAGCTATTGATTTTGGGGAATTATTTACTGCTACATAATGGAAGTAACGACTACAATACGAGCAACCACAGCACATTCATTATTTTATAGAAGACTCTAAGTATTTTCTAACAATCTGCAAGCTCTTATTGATTGAGAAATGGCCAGTCAGGTCGCTCCAACATGATTCTGCAAGAAATGTGCTTTGATCTAATATATATGTATATCCCGCCAACAGCTATGACAGGAAACGGTAGATTTATACAAGACACATAGTATCGATAAAAATAACAAAACCCATTTTGTTTCTTGTCCTAACAAACTAATGTGGATCGTGTCGCCCATTTCATCTAGCCTTATATGTACCACCATTTATCCTGAAGATATAAG